GGGGGGTGGGGGGGGGGGGGGGGACAGACCCTGCAAAATAGTTGACAATCCAATACAGGATCCAGGAATCTGTATTTTCTTCCTTTTCCTCCTAGATGATCCAACAGAGCACTGGGATTTGTCTGACAAGGAACCAGGTATTGTGAAGAGGATATTGAAGCAGCTCATCAAATATCTTGAGACCATGGTGCCACCAGATGACCCACTGGATGACCCAACAGGGTGTCCCAGCAGGAATGGAACCTGGGCTCCTGGCTGGTGTTAGGAAGCTCCTTCACATCCCATCACCAGATAGTAATTTGTTGATGACTGTGATTCCTGGGTCTATCATCATAGTAGACTTTCATGTTTCATAGGATAGGTCTAATAATGGGATTGTTCTCTCTCTCAGAAACATCATCACAAATGCATGAAAGAAAGTAGCATCGATGTAATAATGTGAAGCTCCTCTTCATTCACCATGAAGTCACAGTAGAAGAAACTGAAGTGATAATTTGGGATGTATAGATCTGAAATATAATTTCAACAGGAATGGTGCAGCACTGTTGCACAAATCTCATCAGAATGGCAGGAGAGAGAAGCAGGATTATGTTGTGGATAATAAATTAATCTTGAATGAACCCTTCGTCATACATTGTTTTGAAACCACACACCACACCATATCACAAAGATCACAAGATCATAATAGCTTGCACATTTATTGTGCAGGAATTTGAAACCATTCACATTACTTAAATCTATATCTGCATTGTGGTCTGAGAGGATGGTACTGCACCAGCCCCCTGCTGCCCGGTTCCTCGACTCATCATATCACTCATCTGCAGGAAGAATGGAATTAATTAATGCACATAAGTACCATTAATAGTTTAAAGTCAGAATCAGATGGAGGCACACTCACATTCTTGAATACCTGCCGCTGGAAGAAACCCTGAGCCATGCTCTTCACTGATGATGATATGCTTGCACTTTGCCCATACTTGCACTTCAGGTATCCATATAGATTGGCACCATTCAGAGCTAGAGCTATGCATACAATCATCTGAAAACAAACAACTTGAATAACTAGAGAGGTGAATCAAACTAGAGAGAGTAGAGAAAAAGAATAAAGTAGAAAGAAAGGTGGCAGGGGTGAATTATTTTTCAAACTGACCAGCCACTTAAACTTGAGGCTCAAGAGTGCAACAAGAAAGAAGACAGCCCAGAGGATAGGACAGATGATGAGGCCAAGCCAAAACAAACTGGATTCATTGGTGTTCACCAAGCCCTGTGAGTGGCCCTAGAAAAGGTACCCATGATGAGCTCCATTTTATTCTTGATTGGCAAATCAAAACAAAAACTAATAATCACAGGATTATAGCATTGTTCAGAAAATTATTTTTTCTCACCTTTCGAGATTCGAACACCCAGTGAGACAGCCCCTCATCATCGATGTAGTTCCACCATCGCAGGCCCACCAATAACCTTCCAGTTATATTCTTTACAGTCCAGAAGTCAGCACTCAAGAGCAACACTATGAACACGAATGAACTGATGAAGCTGTCGCTGAACCAGCCACAGAAAAGGTAGGTGACGAGGGCAAGGGTCCTGAATCCAAGATGAAAGGCCACTACGTAGGGATGGCTGAAACAGAAACTTATTCATCAGTGAAACCCAGTGTATATGTGGAAGAATCACTTGAGTGACTGATATGACTTAGAAAAAATTCATTCAGATTTGCTACAGCAGTGTATGGAACAAGTTCAGTGAAAATTATGCTTTCAGAGTTTCCTGTACTATAATCCTAACTTATTCTGGCAACAACAAATTAATAATTACATGAGAGATGCTGTTATCTCAGATATTTGAACAATACCCAAAGGATATGGTACTCCATGCCATGTTGCATGTGCAACAGGGATGGAATAGTCAAGGTGCTATGCCTAACCTAGCATATGTTGTTCACAAATGTTAAGTTAGGCTTAGGCATACACAGTATGCCTAGGCTTACGGTGTCAAACCTGGGGGCAGTAGAAGGATCGTAGTCTGCAAAGCCACGTGCTACTTCATCACTCATGGTTCACGTCCCAGCACAGCTACCAAGAGACAGGTTAATGATAGGCTATGAGCCTTCCAGCAATCACCTGAAGCTGAGAGATCTTGCACACTGCCTGAATTTTACAGACCTAGGGAAAATATATCTTATAGCGACAAAGTCTTGGTTTCAGTGAAGAAATGACACTTAGGGACCCTTTAAGGTTTCACAGTGTCCTTGTTCCTATTCTGTTTTTGTGTGTTGAGAGAAGTTACAAATGGATTTTAATGTATGGTGAAAAAATAGTTTTTTATTTCATCAAGCTAATGGAAAAATCTTACCATTCAGAATAGGTATCAGTGTAGTATAGGATGAGATTAGCAGAGTGCCATTCAAATATGACGTGTCTTTTAGGGAGATGGGGAAGTGGCTTAACCCTTTGAGGAGCAAGCTTAAACCTTTCAGGAGTATGGATGTACTGGTATGTTCATAATCCTCAAAGGATTGAATGAATGATGGGGAGATTGAGGGGTACATCTGTGCAACTCAGTTCCATTGGTGTGTTGTATGAACCTTGCAAGTTTGTTCTCAAGATTATGCAATTGCCTGCTAGCACATTATATTATACATTAGTATGATATCCTTTGTGATTTTGTCTTACTGCATGGGGAGGCACTTATAGTACTGCTAGAAAGGGACTGAATTTTCCCACATTTCAACATCCTTCCAGTCTATGCATGTCCAGTTGAGCACCCAGCTTCTCCCCAGCATTTTACCCCTTTCACATGACACCATCTGGATACAGCCACTTCACTAAATAATGGCAGCCACAAAAAAAAACCTAAAATCTTTCCACATACAAGTATGAATCATTGTCTTGCATTGCTTAAGAGAATTAGCCCATGAAAAAATGGAGACCATCCACACATTACCACCATGCTTTTAATGAATAACTCAATGGGTCTTTGGAAGGATGGAATATATTCATATCATGCTGCTTATGGTGTCTCTTGTCATTTAATTGGCTTCTCATCTCTATATCCTTATTTTGAATAAATAGTGGCAGTCTCCATGGCAAGTCTCTTTCCGATTTATTGATTTTTAATATTCATACCCTTTATTAGAATAAAAAGCAGTTATATCCAAGGCTGTCCCAGATCCATTGATATTCAGGACACTCAAGCTACTACGCTCTTCATATATTACTACCATTTGCCCCTCCTTGGAGAAGTGGGATAGTAAGCAGCCCAACAGCTACTGTGGAGGGCATTGAAGCGAACCATTGTGGGTTTGCACTGCTTCCAATCAATCTTTTTTAAAATTTACTTTTAAGAGAGTTATGAGTTAGATGCTATATATAAAAAAAAGGGTCGAGGGCGCTCTGGAGATAGGTGGATCCAGGGAAGCCCTAGACATTGCAGGAAGCTTTTGAATTACTTCCAAGAGCAGCTAGCCTAGGTTTACAAACGCCGAAGATAACCGATTTGACTCAGGTTTTAAGCCTAGGCTCGGGGAAAGTTCAACAAAAAGCCATGAGAAAAAAAGGGGGGAAAAAGTAATGCCACGTGGCGATTTCTCAGGAGATTGATCCTCTCGTTCGCAACCGTGGCGCACAAATTCAACAGAAACGTTAATATAAGATCTAACGATGCCACGAAGAGGCTGGGGTGAACAGAGCGTGTCCGGTCGCCGATGAGCAAGCGATATGTGATACGATCCAAGGTTGCCATAGGGTGATTCAATATTCCACTTCACGTGTACAACGAAGGTACGAGAGGAGCACCATTTTGATATATTTATCCAAAGCTGTAAACATTGAAAAATATATAACTACGTCAGCTAGAGGCATGAGACTAGGTGATACGAGTGGAAATAGTCGATGAGTACTCTGCATATAGGATTAACACCTCAAGGACATGAGGACTTCACTTGGAAAAGACCCCCAAGGGCGCATCTCTTCTCGTTCGGCAACAGGGCAACCGACAGTGCAGCATGGCGGCTCTTTGAGCATGCTTTCGGTAACCAGTCAGTTTGGGCCAAGTGCGTATGTCTAGCCTTCAAGAGAAGAATGTGAAAGTCTGACCTTACATGCGACAAGAATAACGTAGGCCCTGCTTAAAGTGGACCCAATCTAGGCTATTTTACAAAAGGCTTAACTTTAGCTTCTTCCATTCCGTCCCACGCCACACTAGGCTGCGGCATGTCTAAAGGTGCAATCGCTCGCTTGAATTGAAAAATAAAACTTTATGGGAGCTAGGAAAGAAAGTGTAAGAATCGAGTGAATAGCTCGCTAGAAGACTATGGATATTGAGTAGAGCTAGGGTTGGAACATTTGCTCGAATTTTCTTGACGTTTGGTTGGATTTTAATGTGCCCAACATGGACTATAACAATGAGCCTTGAAAAGATGTTTACTTATCCATGATGTATACTGCCAAAGACGCATTCTCTGCCTTCCTCCTGACAATAAAAGGAACCTTACTGGGAATGGAAATAAAACGACTGCAACCAATGGAGTGCAGCAGTTCACTGGATGGGACTTATTTACAAAGGCCCCTTCCTGGTATCTCAGAAAGATACCGAAATCTCTTTGTATGTAGTGTCACAGAACAACTTTGATGGTTGTGATTTAGCAGTTATGGTAAATGATCACTGGCAAACTCCAATAAGTGGAGAATAAGACTAACTTCAATATCAACTTATCCTTCACATTACGTATTCCTCATTCACTTTAGTCACTAAAATCACAAAAGTCCCGCAATGCCAAGTTCCAACTAATGGTCTGATAACCTTTATGCTCTATTCCTCAAAAATTGGTGGCCATTCTGATTGAAGGAACCAAATACAGTGGTATAGTCTCACACTACCCTACTCCTTCCTGTGTCTTCATATGCCTGAAACTAACTATTTTTGCAGACTCCCCATATTCTACAGTCTGCTCTAAATGTCATATTTTACTCTTGACAGAGACACATTTCAATCATGCCATAATGTCACCTCAAGCAATGACTTAACCTTTTCTTCTAGACCAAAAGAAAGTATATGTACATGGTACTATGGCTCAGTGCCCAATTGGTCATAAAACACTGGGCAAGTTTCTGGAGATAGGCTTCCAGGTAGGCACATCTAAGTAGGCCAATGAAACTAGAAATGGTTTTGCTCTGAGAGACAAAGGCATACTATTTAGCCAGTAATATAGCAGTTTTATCCATTGTCTTCCCAGGTAAAAAAACAGTATTTGTATTGGATTACCTTGCTGTATAGATCTAGTAATCTATCATGTAAATTAATTGCATAGTATTTTATTGCAACTTAAGCCTTTTGTTTTGCTAGAGGAGAAATCCTTGATTCAGTTCAGAAAACTCAATTCCAACAGGTCTGCCTGGCAACTGAGGGTGTGGAATTGAGTGGATGCTAAGGATCCCATCCTATAATGTCAAAGAGGCGTCCATCTTCTCAGCTGAATCATGATAATTGGGATCAGGAAGAGGAGCCTGAAGAAATAGGACAATACACACCTCTGAGTGTCAAGGAATTGCAGGCTAGTGGACGAGTTGTGAAAAGGGCGAAAAGAAGGCTCAAGGGCCCCGATTCATCTGAGCATGTGAGTCTTGTTTTTTTTCTGGCAGAAGGGAGATCAGTGCATTAGTATGTTTAATGCAACGTATATGGTTTGTTGTGGGTTTGGAATTGGTAATAAGTGAGATCATAAATGTAAGTAGTCATCCTGATGACTACCCAGATTCATGGCCATACACTTTCACTTCACCCAATAGAAAATAGAATTTGATTTTTATAGCAAAAAGCTATCTGCAATTAAAAAAGATGAAAGTAGGCTTGTGCATGGAAATTGGAAAAAAAAGCATCAAGATACTATGAGGAACAATAGGGAATCAGTCACTGCTGCAACAGCTCACTCTTGGCAGATGGGGCTTATTTTTAGTTTTCCTTTTTGTATTTTATTGGTATTTTGCCTTCTCTTGTATTATAGTTTCCTGTAAAATCTAGTCTTTCCAGCCAAACAGTGCTTGAGGACGATGAAGAATACCAACCCATTGGCCAACTTCTGCAGCAAACCCAGATGTAATTTTGTCCAAGTAAAAATGACCGAACCAAATTATTCTCATGGTTCACAAGCATTTACTGTAAAACCCTTTTTGTAGAGTGAAAATTTAGACCTGAATGCACAAACTTCATTTAAGGGAGGTAAAGAGGCTCTTTTCCCCCATTTGGAGTCCATATATTCTTGAAGGACCATTAACTAAAGGAGGTTTCAGTATTTGGGCCTCATTCATTTTTGGAAAGCAGGTGGTTTTTTCAATTTGCATTAATTTAATTTCTTTCTTTGCATTCTGATTGCTCATCTTCTATTTGTCACTTTGCCATTGAAAGAAGAACTCGACTCTCTTTGGATTTATAATTCCAGAGTATGGCATCACTTTAGTGTATTATTATAGGTCTCAATCATGCAAATTTTTGGAAACCAATTTCATGGAGCTCATGCCCCTGAGCAAGAGTTGAAATGGCATTCTTGTGCCAAAGTGTAAGAAGGGATGCCAGTTTAAAAGCATGCATGCATGAACATAATGGCATATACGACATTTACTTTTGATTGGTTATCAACTTGTGAATTCCTAATTTGAGCCTCTTTTGAATAATAAATATAGCATAAATGAAGGCTTTGATTATTATGGGTCATGCATCCACAAGAATTAATTAATTTCACCTGTAATTATATCACTGAGAAAAGAATTACCATTGTATGTTAGTATAGGAATAATGAGTGATTGGTCATGGAAGTACATGTTTGTGCCTGGTCTTTTTCATAAGGCCACCTGCAAATATTGATTCTGTGTACCACTAGTGGCACAGGGGAAAGATACTTTTAGGAAACTTGGTAATAGAGGAATATACAGTAGGTAATGCGTCGGCTGGTAAGTTAGTCTTTTGCATGGTTGAGTGTGCTGTATTATGTATCCTTATCATGTAGCAGAAATCTTTGAGATTCTTATAGTGTGCTATTCTTATGTTTATTTGAAGTCCTTGCTTGATTTTTCCCCCCAGTTCGACAATGACATCCCCCGTCCAAATCCCTTTGCGGGCTTTGCTGGTTTCTCCTCTATCACAGCTGAGAATCGTCCAAGTTTTGATTTCTTTGGAAAGTCAGAACCTCTGGGAGAAGGTGAAGGACAAGGAAGATTTGGACAAATAGGAGGATCAAGAGGATTAGGAGGTGTGAGTGATTCTGCTAGAAATGAAAAGAAGCATACGGTTGTTTCATTAGCATCCTTTGGAAATAACAGTGGAATCTCAAGTTCCAAGGCTTCTTCATCTTTGATTGATGGCAAGAGCTTCAAAAGTTCTGTCAATGTAGGTGCTTTGGGCTCAACTTTTATGCAGACTTCTGCTTCATTGATTCCCAAGCCCTCTACAAGCTTGTCAACCACAAAGTTGGATTTCAGTCAGTCAGGGATGACAACAAGGACAATTTTGAGTCAGTCTGGCTCAAAGCCCTCCAACAAGGCTGAAGATTTTCCATTGCCTCCTATCATCCCTATTCCTGTATCAGGGAGTCACCTCACAGCAGACAGAGATGACAAATGCACCACTCATGATGAGAGTAATGCAGATGTCTCAATAAAGCGATCTAAAATGGGAGGAAAACTCCCTCGTATTATGCTCCCTGAAGAATCAGCTATGGAGAGTAGCAGTAGCAGCAGGCAAGAGAGCCCTGACGAGATGTCACATTATAAAAGAGAGCAACGGTACAAAAAAAGGGTGAAGAGCCTGAATGCCAGCTTCTTGAAATGGATCTCACCCTACATGGAGAAATTCCCCTGCTGCATCCTATCACCTGTCTTTGATAGCTACAATCGCCATCTGCGGGAAATTGAGGAGGCATTCCCTGAATTCAGCACTTCACGAATATGGGAAAAAGAAATGTCAACCAGCTTGCAAGCCAGAAGTACTCCTTGTCCAGAAACTCCTTCAAATAATGCAAATCATCCAAAAGAGAAGCCATCATCAACTGAGATGCCTGTAATTGTTTCAGTTGAGAGTCTGACTCAGAAGAAAGCAAGTCAGGCACGAGACCCAAGCCTCTCTAAGCCAACTGAATCCAAACTTTCTAATGAAGGAGGAAGCAGTGCTTCACCTGAGTACAGTTTTCACTCTGTTCCAACAACTAAGGTCCCATTCAGTTTTGAGACTGCAAAAGCTGACACAAAACTTCTATTCTCATTTGGCAGCTCACCTGCTCCTAGTTCTGCCAGGAAGGCACTGTACCAGTTTGGCAGCAGCTCTACGAAATCTGCAGAATTAAGCTCTCCTGTCTCTGAATCTTCTCAAGTGAATAACATTTCTCAACCAACTAACAAGCTGCCTCCTTTTTCATTTGCTCCTGCAAAACCAACAGCACCTATGACTGCAATTGTAGCAGAGAAGACAAGCAGAAATGAGGGAAATAGCAAACCACCTGCATTCTTCACACTAGGGTCATCTGATAAGCCACCAGAGGTGAAGGGTGACGCACCATTCATGAAAGAGGCAGAGGGGAAGTCAATGTCTAAGATTCCGGTGCCAGAATTTGCTGGAGAGAAGAAGGGATTTCCTTTCCCACTAACCTCTTTGAGTGGAAAGCCTCAGTTATCATTTGGAACTGGATCATCTGCCACTGTGACAACTTCTAGTGAGAGGCCAGTGTTCTCCTTTGGGAAGCCTTCCTCAGCTTCCACAGCTTTGAATGCCAAGCCTTCAGAAAGTCATGGGACAGTGAATACTCAGCCATTAATATCTTTCAGACCAAATCCAACTGTGACCATATCAGGTGACAAGGCCACATTATCTTCTGAGCCTGTGACTGTTTCGGCCTCAAGTGACAAGCCATTCTTCACCTTTGGATCATCAACAGTGGTCACAACTTCTAGTGAGAAGCCCTCATTTTCCTTTGGTACTGGGGCATCAACAACATTTGGAAGTGCCAAACCTGGTCTAAGCATGGGAGGTGCTGGGATCTTTGGGGCTCCTTCAAGTGTAGGTTTCCCATCCACTGGTCCCTTTGGAAGCAGTAAGGGATCTACTGTAGAGACTACTGGGTTCAGATTCTTTGGTTCCTCCAAGCCTACAGATTCCTCTTCAGGAAATCCCCCTACCTTGTGAGTTCATAGGTTATTTTATTATTTCTTTCCAACCTTAATATACATGGGAAAGCAAAAGTTAGTTGCACTAATTTGCAACAAATAGATTTTTCCATGTGGAAGTAGTTTCTTGTTTCAGTTTTCCTTTTCTAAGTTAAATGCCCATTCTAATTTATGCTTTTGGCGACAGATTGCATGTTGGTGTTAGTCATTGGTGATTTGGTATTCAAGAATGTCTCAATGAAACCTTTGAAGATAGGTGGATTAGAAGCCAATGACCAGTTGAATGGCCTGCTGGATCACCAGAGCTGGGTCCAATGGATTTTTTCATATGGAGAATTGCCAAGGAAAGGATCTATGCAACAAAGCCTTGCAATGATGATGAGGGTACATCATCAAGAACTGTGAAACCCTGGGTGATTCTTTGTGTAATATATGAAATTTTCCCTGACAACCTTACAAAATTATGCTGACAGTTTCAACATACTAGCTAAGCATGCAATATGTAATGCGAGTTAATTTAATCAAGTAAGAACTGGAATTATAAGATGTTAATTATATTTCAGGGCAACTAATTCTTGGCTCCTTCTATAGATCCATTTGAGGATGATATACATCCCTTTTGTAAGTAACAAATATAACAATTTCCCAGATGATAAGGAAAGCATATAATATAATGCCCCTCAATAAATGTGTAAACTATACTGTATCTGAAGATAAGGGGCATGTGCATTATTTAATAGATCTTGAGAAGGCAGGAAAGTCATGCTATCATAAACAACATGAAACAAGCTCTACAATGATTCAATATAACATCATATTTTGCTTTGGCAGACAGAGGACTTTGGTTGAAGGTCATCAAACTTGTAGATTTGTAATATTCTGATGGCAGCTCTTGTATCAATAACTGGCACAACTTCAAACCAGGTTTGGACATTTATACCTTCTAATACACTATCATGACCTCCAGTTATGATTTCCTTACAGAGCTCAAAACAAACAGACAAGGATTGAAAGTTTGATCAAATTTTTTTCCCTCAAACCTGAGAAACTAATAACCAAGAGTTATGAAAACACTGGATTAGTTCCTTGTTTGGAATTCCCAGTTTTCTCTGGAACCTAATTGCCATGGTTTCTTGCAGCTGAGTTCATCAGTTGAGCCACCATCAATGTTTTACTTGACATGGAATGGCTCAGGCATCAAATCACTTCAATCAGATTATTTTGATGGAGACATTTTCTTTGGCTTTACTTTACTTACTTTAATAAGTAAGATAATTAAAGCAGTGTTTCTCACAAGGTTTTAGAAATAATTGTTTTACTAGTATGTGAAATCTTTTAAATGGTCTGTAGAGACCTGCACTCAAAATGCAAGGAAGGAATTTATGCATGAGTGTTTTGATGAACTCATGCTCAGTATACTGGGTGGTACAAAAACACATGCCCTGTTTGAAACATTATAAAGCCAGCTGTGGATCATCTAGGTTTGTGATTTTTTTCCTATAACATTGGAAACATTACAAAATTAGTTTCCTAAAAGTTTCATTTGTCTAGGCTATCTGAATAAAAAGCAACAGTCTTTCAAAGTGGAGTCATGAAATGTAATTTTTCTGCTCATGAGGGAAATGAAGCTTCAGCACTGCTGAAATTATTTCTCTCCTTAGCCACCATAAAGGTTGCTTTTTATTTCATGTCCTCATCATAGTATTCCTTGTCATAGAATAATCCTAATGTCATATTATCAGAATTGATACCAGATTTCATCTTCTCTCCATGAAAAAAGCCCATGTATTTTTAGAGTAGAACTTCAAATATTTTGTTGCTATACCCAAGTTCACATGTTGCTTGTTAGGTGGGAGTCTCTGCAACCTACAGGAGAGATTGAAGACCCCCATGAAAAATTCATAGAAGATACTCTGTAGTAATTCTGTTTCTTATTCCCCTTTTCAGATTTCATATTTTCCTTTCTTTATGCATTATAATTTATACCCTCTTCTTACTTTCAGTAGGCATAGAAAAGACTATAAAATGTATGGGAGTGTCCTTTCAAATACCTGATGACCCTATTCTTGAACAAATTGAGTCTCATGGGCTAAATGATGTACTTCTAGTCTTCATAAAACAATAATGGCTGTACTTCATGCTAACTTACTAGGCAGCTAGAACTGCAACACTTGTACAGAGTTTAGAGACCATGCAAACTGCACCACTGCCAGGGTTTCGCAGAGGTAGGGACTTAACTCCTCTGCGTGGGAAAAGTTGTAGTGGCAATGAAAAGCTGGAGATGTTGAGACTATCCCTATATGTACTGGATATCCTGCTATTTATTGTGCAGTGTTCTTTCACTTAGCAGGATGTACAATCCAGCCAGATTGGGGATTGAATATTCAACAACATAGGAAAAGGGGAGGGGGGAGAGAGAATGGGAGTGACTAATCTCTCTGGTTAGAACAGAAATAGCTAGATAGAAATTGGTGGGAAGGAAAGTGAACACCTTTCCCCATAGAATCTTTTATAGTGAAAAATTTTTTGAACTTTCCAAACCAACCTCAGATAATTCCATCTGTTTTCATGAAATAAAGCCCAGTCCATCAGAACAGGGAGTAGAATGAAGGTAACAAGAAAAAGTATGGAGATATCATGCATGGGAATTTCCTTTTCCTTTTTCACATTTCTTATTCTCATGCAGCTGCCAACATTTTCCAGTCTCCAGACCTGAGAACCTCCACAGACTTGGAAATTTTGCATTGTGCCAAGTTGCTATTCTTTTTTATTTTCCCATCTTCTTCCCTCTTATCTTCTGACATTTGTTTTCTTGTAATTTCAAGTGCTCTGCATTACAGATAACCAAGTTCCAAAAACTTATTTATTGAAGTAACAGAAATTTTGCATATGCAGTTCTTCACCATAGAAGAGGCACATATATACTTTCAACAATACTAGCTTTATCTTTGCTAGGTAGAAAATGACATGGAATGAATAATAGAGCTGATGAGATTGCCTGCTCAAAAAAAGGTTAACAGATGGCTTGTATGTGCAACTATCCAGTTTCAGGTCTGGCCAGATACTTGCTACTGGATATCTAGTATCTGGCCAAAACCCTATTCTGTACATCTCGTTTGCACACATAGGAAGACATTGTAGAGTTTTTTTAATACCCAGTATTCTGAAACTCAAGATATCATGTATTTTTCTTAAGTATTAAGTCAGTATTAAGCTAAGCATTACAGTGGACTGCTTCTCCCTTACAGAGATGGACCAGCAGGTGCAAATCACAAGAGTGGAGTGACAAACGAGGGAACAGGAGATGATGAAAACTACGAACCACCAAAACCAGATGTGCATGAGGTGGTGGAGTCAGATGCTTTCTTCTCCAAGAAGTATGCTCACTTATGACAATCATCTCAGAGAAACCTTGCCTTGTCAGACTGTCCACAAGTGGAGTGTTTTTCTGAAATTACTTGCAGGTGCAAACTGTTCTACAAGAAGGATGAGCAGTTCAAGAACAAAGGTGTGGGGATGCTGCATCTGAAGCGTTTGGAAGATGAGAAGGTCCAGCTACTTGTGAGAGCTGACACGAACCTTGGGAACATCCTGCTCAACATCAGAGTGGATGATTCCATGACGTTCAAGAAATTCAAGAATAACAATGTCTTAATCATTTGTGTTCCCAATCCTCCATTGAGTCCCAACCCCAGCAACAAACCAGTGTCGTTCCTTGTCCGTGTGAAGTCTGAGGTCGATGCTGAGGAACTTGTTGACATGCTTGAAAAGTCCCGAAATTCTAGTGAATCTGAAAGTTGAATATTCCAAGATTCTGTCTAAAATTTTCTGATTTTTCTCTCATTGGTCTGCTGAATAAAACCCCAAACTATTCTGACGAACTCCACTGCTGTTACCATCCATCAGTTCTGCTTCTTGTGTAACATATAAAAGTAACCATTATTGGGATTTCCCTTTAGTTCAAAGCATAATGAGCATTTAAACATCGAGGACTTTGGCTCTCTCATAGTCAGGGATATTTTCTCCATGTATCATACATTTCTATGATTAGGAGCATGAAAATGCCAAGGTGCACTATTGCAGTTAAGAGGATGCTTTGAAAAACGTATTCACTGCAGTCAGCTCCCCAGAAGACACACCCCCAAATCATGATTTATTACAGTCCTACATTTTGAGCGATGACTCTGTTGCAGTAAGCTTAGGAGTTCTGGAATGCACCAGAGTCATGCTCTAGATATATCCATGGAAAGTCATGATTTGTCACAATCTCTACACTTCTGTATGAGAGAGTCAATCCCAGACTTCCCAGTCAGATCACGTAGACAATAGAGCAAGCTCTTGCCGAAACGCACTGAAGTCTTGAATGGAGACTAGGCAACCCTATGACTGATGATCTGGAATAGAAACCTTATGTACTAGCAGTTCTCGACTCTCATTTGATCGTTTATTCGCCGCTTTTTAGAAAGCCACGTGGATTTATGAAAATACTAGGTCACAACTCCTGGAGTCAACGCTTCACACCCGACCCCACCTCTATTTAGCGACTGCATTGACATCTGGGTTAATTGGTTCTCGTTCGCCATTTCGGATTATTGAAGTATAGATGGCGATAGTTGTTCTTGAACGAGGACGCGCGTCATCCTCTGCGGGGCTCAGGGAGGGCAGCGCGTTTTATCTTCCTCTCCAGACTCCAAATGAACTTTCACAATCTGATTCCTAAGTCGTTGCGCGATTGTGTGACCTCCCAACCTCTACTCCCGACTTTCTTAGGAGAGGACATTCTATATTTCGGCGGTGTGGCCAAAATTCTTCCCGCTGTTTATCCTTAGCCAATGTTATTCTTGAGCTGCGGCAGTAGGCCTAACTGAATGTCCTCATTAATCAAGGAAAGTTTGGGTGTTTCGAGACGCTAATCATGTGTCCTTTTTTTGTAAAGTCTTCCAGTATTTTTTTGTGAAGCCATGGAGGATGAAGACCAGTGTGAAGAGAAGCCAGAAGTACCAGAGTTTCGACTGGAATTGTTTGGTCTTCACCGAGTAGGAGAACCACCTCCCAATCCCAAATCTCAGGTCCCCTTGAATCGTCGTGGAACGGTACGAATAGGCGTACAGCAATTCTTACCCTTTGTCAGATGTACTGGAATCGAAAGGATTGCCAAGAATGAGTGAAGCCTAGGCCTATGGTCGCCCTTAACGTAGAAGTGCCTGGCCTATGATCATTCTACCTCCAACCATTCGCCATTTAATTCTTGTTTTTCAGAAGTTCAAAGTCATCATTGGGCTTACTGTAGTTATTGGTTCTATCCAAATGGGCTTCCCACCCTTGTCTAGGCAATATGGACACAGGAAGTAAAAGTGGCCAAATGTGACTTATACAATATGAAAGTGCACAGCTAGGTTCTAACTAGATCAGACTCAACATAAGCATGATGGCAATATTAATCAGGAGGTTTACTGATGGATAAATAGTGTGTAGGCCTATACAGAAAAATAGGAAGGCTGCTCAGTTGATTAAATTTAGCATCTTGATGAATATAGTCATGAAGAGTTTACCAGAAGCAAAATGCATTTTTGGGTATAAATTGAGTTGTATTTATATTACTATAGGTAGCTATTCTGAGGGAGGGAATGAGATATTGTGGAGCTGGTGTCAACATTGCCTGGTAAGGAGTCAAGATATCTAAAGGTATAGGTTGCAATGAATGTGATATGCAGTATGTCTGAAGACATGGAGAGGGAGGGAAGATGTAATGTGAACAAACAAAAGGCAGACAACATGCATTCCATTTAATTGTGGAAATTATACGGATAGCAAGCTTCTATATGATTCTTAATTCAAAATTGTTGAAATATGTAGACTGAGCAAATTCACAAAGTTTTATGGCATACTCAAGATAGCTGTGAGATATTCTAAATACACTTGCAACAACTTGAGGAGGAAAAATGTGGTTTCACTTTTCTTAGACTGTAACAGTCATCACAATCCCTTTTGATTCCATGCATTTGCATTAAATACACTTAATTTACATCAAGATCCAACTACAAATTTACATTCTCATTAATGTTTTTCTGCATTTTATGCACTTCATACCTCTAGGAAGCTTTTTAAGAGAATTGAGTATTAGATGCCATTGATGTTGAGGTTGGGTCATCAGTAAGTTAATCAGATGTGAGTGAAAGCTCACATTTGGTTAACTTATGATAAGTAGACTTGTTTATGAGCTGTGATCCTATTAGTTTCTTAGTGCAAGGAAAATGTTTCATGTTGTTATTGTCAACAATATTGTCTAGCTCTGAGTCAAATAGAGTGCAATGCCTGATTAGCATTTAAGTCTCTGTGCATGATATATCCGCATGGCCTTCACAGAAATCTTGGTGCTAGTAGCAAATGTGCTAAATTCGGAGTGAATGTAAGAGCACAGATAGGAGTTGTGGGAGTGGAAAATTATACTCCTAAGACCTGGGTGGCATGTACATGTGCCAGATCATTTGGGTTTTATTTTTTATAAGTCTGAGGAGGTTATACATGGGACAATGAGCAAAGGCATTCTCTAAACCCCAAAGGAATAGTTTCAAAGGTTCATAGGTTCCCATGCCTTAGCCTGGTTATATAGAGTAGGGATATAAATGACAACTACAGGTCAAAGTAATAAAAATAATTGTAGGGGTGTTTATCCAAGTAATGAACGCCAAGGAACATTTTTAATGACAAATACAAAAAATTGACACCCACAGACATATTCCATGAGGAGGAGTCCATAAGAAACCATGTTGGGTTGCCCAATAGGTGAGAGTGGATTGAATGCCATACTGTTCCAACAGAGTAAGTAGAATGGTATGATTCACACAGTTGAAGCCTTGCTGGTATACATGATATGTATTTAAACCAAGGGATGTTGTGTATTGCCTTAATTGACTGCATCTTAATTTAGGACAAATGGAATGTTTGGTGACATGGATCTTAAAAGGATTGAACAAATGGACAGTACAGTTTTGACCCTTTATTAGTTGACACAAAGTTTATGATGCTTATGCAGCTCAACTACTTACTTCCTATAATTGCTCTGTTTCATTTAAGGATTTTAATAATAAGCCCTGTTCTTGCTACTTTTATTACTTTGTTATATTCAAAGACAGACTCCACCTATGAGGTGAGGATAGAATCAGTATTAGTTGATTTATATATTTACATACATTTTCAATTCCTCTTATCCCAACTTAATGGGGTTGCAGTTTGAGCATGCCCAGGAGCGTCCTCCAATGACCTCAGTCCTGGGCAACAGACTCAGGCTTGGCTAGTGGAATGCCGAGCCTCTCGTGACAAATATGAGCAATGTAATCACTCCACCTTGTGCAAGGTCTACCAACAGGTCTTTTGCCGGTCATATTGGCCTGGAAGAACTCCTCTTGGAAGTCTCTCAGAGGCCATGCAGCAGACATTTTCAATCTACCCTGACCTAAGATTTCTCGATCCTGAGAAGCAGCTGCTTGACATGGAGATTCTCACAGATGATGGAGTTCCACATCTGATCACGGCACACTACATCAGCCACATGATATAAGAACCTCATTTTAACAGCTTGTATATGTGATCTGGTTCTTTTGGTCATTACCCAAAGTTCTTAACCATAGATGAGGGTGGGGCAATAAACACCCCTGTAAACCAAGAGTTTTGCTTCCCTAGAAACTTCCAATCTGGCAACCATGGTTCACCATAGTTCTCACAGAATTGCAGAAGCCTTGAAGATGCAGCTGTCAATCTTGTTTCCTAGTCACCTGTCACTTGAGAACAAGACCCAGAGGTACTTAAACTTCTCTGCCTGTTCCAGTGGGACTCCACTGACATGCAGGTTGGGGTGGACAGGATTTCTCAAGATGACCATGACTTGTGTCTTGGAGATGCTCAGTTTCATTCTGGCTGCAGTGTATTCAGAGTCGAACCGATTGAGCATGCTCTGGAGCTCCTGTTGAGAATGGGTCAAAAGGATGGCATCCTCAGCAAAGAGAAGTATCCTTACCATGGTGCCACCAATGTTGACCCCCTGCAGGCCAAGTCTGTGCCTTCAGGTCCTGTCCGTGTACACGAGGAACGGGAAAGGAGGGAGGACATAACCCTGCCAGAGTCCAGTGCATACCAGAAACAATCCAAACTCCTCCCACTCACTCAAATACAGATCCTGCATTCACCATGTAGGGACTGAATGGCCCACAATAGCTGATTCTTGATCCCATATTCCACAGTTGTACACTTTTTCAAGGTCTATAAGTATGATTTACCAAACTTGATGTGACTTTGAGAGAAAAAGAGGAAGTGGCTGATTCTAAAAGTTTTTGAGCCTCTTGTAAAATTTGTTGAAAGGGTTTATAAACAATTGCAAGTATAGTTAAAGGACTCATAGGTAATTTTGTAGAAGTTGTTAGTTACCTTTCATATGGACATTACATAACCTACCCAGCTCAGATTCCTGAGTGAATATGTCTATTCACATATCTGGGTCTCATTCAAACCTACTTTGAATTCCAATTCTCTATGAATGCCATCTAAGACCAGATAGGCTCCAGATGAATGTAATTGGCTGAATTCCCATCTGGGTTTCAAGCAAACATTTAGAGTGGAGGCAAGAATCATGTGGCTTTAAGGACTACTATTTAAAAAAGTTACTATAAAGGACTACTGTAAATACTTACATTCCAAGTTTATTTAGTGAATTTTTAGTGTTTAATGTTAATTTTTTATGTATACATCTCTTGACCTAGTAATAGGCTGAATGAAATGTGTGGCTATCTCATGAATTTGTAATAAACTACTCTTGGGTAGTTCAAAATGTTACATTCCCATCTCATGAGATGCAATGATATGCTATTGGAAACTTGAAAAATTGCATTTGGATCATGGTCTATCTCAAATGAAAATTTATGGAAGTAGTAACTTTATGAAATCTTCTGTCACCCTTTCTCATTTGATTGCTACATCTATACTAATTATGATGCATTCATACAATATGGTGATTAAATATTACTACTCTTTGGTGCTAGAATGTAATTTCCAGGAAATATGATGAATAATTTAAACCCAATTTTGTTTAGTACTACATTAGAATTCTCAGTTATTTTCTAATTATCATAGGATAATCATCCTTAATTTCTGATTTTTTTCAATTAAGCTTTTTTTTAACTTAATAAAAGTAACTACCAAGCAACAGTTAAGTTTAGATTAAGATTACCTTAATTGTTTAGAGATGTTCAACATCAGTGTACTTCTGCTTTGACAGCCACTGTCTGCCTAGCTTACCTCTATGCATCTTCCTAATTGCTTGAGTGCATTGTAATTAGTACAGATGTAGCAATCAAATGAAGGAGTGTGAACTTTTTTGCCCATCATGTACAATTTGAGAAATGGATTTTATTTAGCAGTGAAATATCATAAGCCCCATGTTAATAGCATATCATTCTTTGGAATGAATACTGATATTAATGAATATTTTATTATGTTCTACAGCCTGCAAGGATTCGAAAGAAAAACAGTCTGATCTTCAATGACAGCACCATTGACACATCTGGTCCACAGTTCCGACTCTCACCCAAGAAATCACCATTAGTTGTGTCTACTCCTCCACAAGTGAGCAGATCGGCAAGGAAGCTCTTCAAGGATGCAGATGATACACCTGAACGAGAGAATGGTAAACCCATTCAGATCTGCAGATCTGTGACTCCACAAGTGAAAAGAGCCCCAAGTGAAGAGTTTAATGAGGCACAAAAGGTTGCCTCTGAGAATGTATTGGAGAACCGCAAGAGGTTCCGGAGCTCTCATACTAAGTATACACCAGTCAAGAGAAGCCTCTTCACCAACTCCTCACCAAGAAAACGAATATTACCTGACCTGGATGCCTGCAGTGATAGAAGGGTTATTCAGAACATTGGAAGTAGATTGAGGAACCTGCTAAAGCTTCCTAAAGCTCATAGATGGGTTTACTTTGAATGGTTTTACAGCAACATTGATGAGTCAGTGGTTTCTATGTCATGCAGATAAATGTTGAGGAACTGCACTTTAGATCCTATTCTCTGACTTTATTTTTGCCCATCAGGACCCTCTTCTCAGGAGAGAATGATTTCCAGATATGTCTAAGAGAATCCTTTCCTGCCCTAAAGACTCGGCTGCTAACACGAGTTGAATGGTGCAAGATCAAACGGATGATGGGGAAGCCAAGAAGGTGCTCCCAGGTAAGCATGATAGCATTGAAAATATTCTGTCGCATGTCTTACAGTCTGAGTGAAGGGCTTCTTTTTGTTGCCCATGAACAGGCATTCTTCAAAGAAGAAAGAGACTTCTTGTCTCGAAAGAGAGCTAAACTTCGTCAGTTGCAGCAGGGAGAATTGTGGGATATTGACAAAGTGAGAGATCAGCTTCCGGATGAAATCCCTCTGCCACTTACTGTTGGTAAGTAGACAAGTATAATAAGTGTTCCAAAATATTTTCTGTCATGAATTCTAATCTAATCCAGAATTTATGTATTATTTATTTCATAGGTCAGTCGGTGACAGCAAGGCTGCGGAAGCCCATCAATGATGGCCTCTTTACTGGCACTGTCCAGGCTGTGGACACATTCAATAACACCTATCGGATTTCATTTGATCGAGCAGACATTGGAACCCATTCTGTCCCTGACTATGAAGTCATGGTAAGAATATATGGGACATAAGAGAATTTTTCAGTCAGTCTCTCACCAAAGGGATTAGCATCTGCATCATCATATACAATTTTTTGCAGTCCAATGGCTTGGTGGAGACAATCACTTTCAATAGCTTCATTGCCAACATGCGAGTCCAGCACAAATCACCATGGTGGACACCTGTGAAACATGGTCAACACATGGCAGGCACCTCCTTGACTCCTGGTGCCTCTGTTGATGGTTCTCCTCAACTTGCCAATGACCCCATTTTGGGCAATTCCTCCATTCCCCTGAAAGCCAGACTACTGGAAGGAAGTCTTGGCTTCCCTGTCTGCTTCCTTGTTCACATTGTGAGCTTATCAACTCTTGCTCAATTTTGCCTGAAGTCCTCTTACTACTTTGATGAATGCTACAAAAATGTTCATATTTTTTGCAGGTGAGACTTCAGAAGATTTTGGCTCTGAAGAAGGAAAAAGTGGGAGTTCTGAAGACAATGAACACAGAAGCAGAGAAGTGTCGTTCTTATGGATACCAAGTGTCCCGTGACTTCAAGAGACGATATGCCACTGTCGTTCTGGACCTAGAGAAACTCAACAAAGATCTGAATCGCTTCCTACTTGAGGTCCAGGAATTCTGTCAGGAGGTGGGTCACAGCTAATTGCAGATTGACATTCAAACAATTGTATTTCTTTTGGCTTTTCAGTTTTCATTGCAATGTAAAATTTTCTTTGCAGTAGATTATTTTTCTTTACTTTCATTCAAGGGTCCTCTGTTTTGTAGGACTGAGCATTGAAAGAAAAAGGTTCTGGAAGTGATGATATGTTGCATGGCATTTTTGGGTTTCCTCATTTGAGCTCCATACTATTCACTCAGTAAGATATATAGCTGTGCGAGTTGATTGATGGAGACAACAGCAATTGCAATTTCTTTTATGGAAAATTTGCTCACCATGTGAAATAGGCCACTGACATTTTCATTAAATCTGAATATCAAATGGGGCCCTTGAAAAAGTTCTGGTGCTGCTTAAATAGGGCATGGTGATATTAGGACGAAGATAGATTTACCCATAACTTTTATAAATTTACAGCCAACTTAAAATGTTTAGAAATAACATCACTGACATCATGTTAGGAACATATTCCTAGAGTAAATGGGGAAGGAGTTTATGCCATATTTTGTCTGCTGGCAGTTGTGCCCCATCCATTATTCCAGCAACAAAGTCACTCTCCCCCTGTTGTGCATAGGCTTGATATACAGGATATGGTTAAAAAAGGACTAACAATTTTCAAGCAGCTGTGTCTGAAGAACACATGGATCAAACCTCTCTAGATTTTGTGAATGTAGCATTCTTTCAAGTTTGTAAGTATCATCATTTATTCATGCTAAATTTAATCAAAATGATTACCAATATTCAGCAAAAAATCAGATTTTTTCATATTCAGAAGCTCATGTGCTCAGAAAATTTGTACAGAATGTTTGGACCTTTACACAGTTTTTTAAGTTGATAATGGACAGGGCAGGATAGCATATATGGAAAATTAAGTATCTCAAAAGTGATACAATTAGATGTGACTTTTAAAGTATCCAAGCATGCTATCAAACTAGATTCTTTAGGTACTGCAGCATAAGAAGCAGCTACATTTCAGCTAACCTGGTATAGCATTGGTGGCAGATCTTTATAGTTATCCACATTTCTATCATGCTTGATTGTTCTATTTTGATCCACTGACTTCAGGAATGATCCTCACTTCACATGCACTTTTCTTGAATAATGGATGTCAGCTTTATCTAAATCAATTCATTTACAATGCATCTGGTGTGTCCTTCTGCATATTTAAATGTTTAGAGCCAATCAAGGAGAGGGAACTTGGAGATTTTTTTAAATCTTGAAGATTAGGTAATATTCAGTTTTTATTCCAAGCTATTTTTTATTTAGGTTTTTGCAAGTTAGATTAGAGGGAGTAGTATAAAAAGATTAAGAAATGCAACAGAAAATATTTTGTAAAAGACTTGAATTCTTGAAAAACTAATGGCATTGCCTGATTTGCAAGCTTTTCAAAGTTTAAAATTTTGAAAAGCTTGGAAATGTTTATTATAATTGTAAGTTGAGATTTCCTCCCAAGCCTATAACATAATTCAGACATGAAAGGGTCAAGTTCAAGACATTCCTGACACTGAGTATTGCTCATAACTTCAACATGAATGAGTGGATTTAAAAAAAATTTTTAGAATTGAAGGGGAGAAGTTTATGGGTTTGGTAAGACCAAATGCTTTCTTTCTCCATACGTGGTATATGCAAAAAGATATGTCTAGAGGAAGGAAGACTTGTTTGGTTACTATACCAAATGAAATATATTTTATCTTCACATCCTGAACATTGATTAGTTAGGTGTGTGTTTTCCATTCATTCCTTTTTAATATGGAATTCACTGGGACTAACTTGTTTGTTCCATAGAGCTCCACAACTCAATTCTTCTCACCCATACGTCTCAATCACTCCTCAGATTTACCTTGGACTACTAGCATATTGATTCTCTTTGCAAATGCAGTCATTGAGTTCTAGTTCTTTAGTGATTGTCATTCATCAAAGTTGAAGTTCTCTAATTTTGCTGGGACAAGTTACCAAATGGGTTTTATGAAGTTTTGGTTGGCTAAGTTGAAAGAATGATAGTGCAGGCTCATTTCTTTTAGAAACCAGTCAGGCTTTTTGTTCATGCATCACAATTTTGATACCTGTTGTTACATTGTCAGTTATATAAATTTATATGTGGGGTGACCATTCAGCTCACTGGAGTTCTCCATTTATTTTTAATATTCACCTGTCAAAGAGGTAATAATTTGCCAGGTTATTTCTTGACATTTTAATTTTTGGCTTGTGGGTTTTATTTTTATGTACAAAATGCTTGTTCTGAAGATATTATAGCATGGTAAATTGGCAAAATTACCTGTACCATTTCGTTGCCTGAGCACCCATGGAAAACTAAAGAGAGACGGTGATTGTGTATGTACACAATCTTTCCTTAATGTAATTGAACAAAAATGAAAATAAGTATTCCACTCAAATTAATTAAACAGAAATGAAGAGACACTAGCCCTTATCTCATGAGGAACCTTGAAGAATTCACCTTGCAGTGTTCCTGCAAATATACTGCTAGGTGTACTTTCAAAAAAAGCATTTGGATAGAGGGTTTCAACCAGACTTTAAGATCTCTGGTTCTCATTGCAGTGGGCTCCTGAGCACTTTCATTCTGCACCATCAAGTCATTTCAAGGAACTTTGCAATGATCAGGCCCGCCTTTTAGTCACATCATACAACAATCGAGGAGAGTCATCTGCCACCTCACATGTGAAGAAACAGGAAGCCCTGGATCTCATCATTGGCCTCACTTCTCTTCTCATTCAAGTCAAGGTGCACTGTCTCATTTTTACTTATTTATTTTTCTTGCTTTCTTGTACTATTACAAGAACTGCTCAGGTCAAATGAAAGTTCTATATTTCAGTCTCTGGCAGAGAATGACATGAATTCATATGAGCTTGGAAGCCTGACTGACACAATGGAGGACCTGCAGAAAGAACTGCATGAGGAAAATTCGAAAAAATTCCAGGATGAGGTTGAAGTTCACCTGAGACACTTCCAGGCTGGCCTGGCTCATACAACTCGACAGAGATCTAAACAGACGTCTGACTGACGAGCAGAAAAAGCATCTTATATCACGTGGTCGTACAGTGCTCACAGAGTGCATAGAGTATTGGTCCTGAATTCTCATCTGCTTTTTTTCTTGTTTTCACATTGTGTCTATTGAGAGTGAGAAGGTTTGGGGACCTCAGATCAGGACTTGATTTTCAGGGATGCTAGAGGTTTCCTGTATGCTAGTCATTCAAAATATCTTGCATGCATTGCATGACTTGACTTACATAGATTTGACTGTTGCTTCAGTTCATATCATGCATTTCCATAAATCATCAGATTTCTAGGAGAAGTTTTTTCTTCAAAAAACATTTTAATTTCACTTTTTAGGGATGTACTGATGACAGGAATTGGCTTATTGTGATCTCATACCTACTGGCTGGTGCTGGTGCTGATGCTGATACTTGCAGCAAATAGAGGGGAAATACATCTTTTCTTGGAAAAGAGATTGGATGTCTGGTAGGATGCATGTCATAAATCAATGCAGATCTCAGCAAAAGAGATTAAGTCATGTGCATGTAATACATCAGCTTTTGGTCTGAGGAAGCAGGAAATGTGAGCCTTTTTATAGGGGGGTAGGAAAGAGAAGGGAAAAGATGGGAAATCCTGCATCTGGTCGCATTCAGATGTGCACGTGTTTCCCTTACTCTTTCATGTTTTGCATGAGGGCATCAACACTGGGAGTGTGGAAACCTGTCAGTGGCTCTTGATACTGTATTGGTAGCTGATAATAATGGTTGCCAGTGCATTGGTATGCAGCTTTTTTATGTAGGTATTTCATTATCCTTTGCTTGTTCTAGGGTTACCTGTGACGATTATCTTTGACAAGTTGCTGTCTCATTTTATGCCATAATCATCATATTCAATCTCCTGATCTGAGGACTCCATTTATTGCTAATGGTATAACTCAGATTATTGAAAGTTTTTTCTTCTATGGAAGTGATAATGTAGAAGCTTCTCCTTTTGCATTTGTCATTGTCTTGAACATTATTTATTACTGGGAAGAATGGATAATGGCCATTGTGGATTTTTTCAAGTGACTTATTTCAGAGCACTAATTGACTTTTCTTTCCTAAGACAAAAGTTAGACTGATCCTTATGTTGATTCATGCTGGAATGAAATGGAGCATTGTTTAAGTGAGGCATGTGTCTCTTTGTCAATTATCTGTATTACTGCTGCAAAGCGGTGCATTATACTATTAACCCTTTAATGCATGATTTTAAATTTTTTGGCAAAAAAAATTGGTTGGTTTTACTTAGGTCCTAGAACACAGGAAAAGTGGGAAAAAAAATTACATCCTCAACTTTGTAAGTAGTAGACCCAAAAATATTATTGCTGCACATTTGCCACAAACATTTTCAGCATTCTAACCCAGACTGCATGGAGGCTAGAGAGCTCAGTCAGTCAACATTCATACATACCTCAATGCAAAAGAAAATGTAAAAATATGGAATGAACCTGGACTAATGTAAAGTTTAAGTAACTACACCAACAATGTCAGTCTGTCACACAATGAAGCCATGTGTTTTTGAGTTGTTTGCCACCAGGAGTGTAGGATACCTAGTGACCGTTGGGGTACCGTTTGGTACAAGGACTGGACTGTTGCACATCTGCTACAAACCTACTTACTGCTAGAGCTCGCTACCTAAGCATTCTAAAAATATTTACTTGGAATGTAGCATATCTGTTACATCATGCATTAATGGGTTAATTGGGGGTGTGTGGCTGACAAAAAATAATAATACTGGTAGTTACTTCTGTCTTTTGCTTGTAAAGCAACCAAGCGAAAAACTCAAAATTAAACCCATTTTGCTTTTTCCTCATGCCCCTATATTGTGATGAGATATTATTTGGAAATGATCATCCTTTCCCAAAATGGGAGAGTTTTAGTGCCAAGCCAACAATCAAGCCAAACCTACAGCCAGCACAAGTCCGAACTATTGAGGGAAAATGAGAAGAGAATACTAAAAAAGCAAAGGATAGCTAAGGAGGCCTAATGGACTGGCAAGTCATAGGAGTCTTGTCGGGCATGATCCTACCAAACAACTTGCAGTGTAGTAAAACCCTTTTCAACATCTCCACACCAGGGAATGATCATTAAGGAAGAAGACAGTGGCTGCCGCAACAGAAGTAACAGAAAGCTTCCACAGCTTAAGTCCGTCCTTAACAGTCCTCGTACAGTTGAATGATTTCAAGCTTCAACTGTGTCTTCTGAAACTAAGGAAGAACATATGGAAAACAGAGGAACTCAGGAAAGTTTTCATTAACACTTCTTTCATTGCTCCTTGTTCTTGTGCAGAGTGCATTCATGAAGAAATGAAATGCCAAAATGATATACAATAGCATCTCATGTCATGACTCACAAGCATGTGGAGGCTTTTGTTGCCACCATAGATAGTGAAAGGAAATTTACATGGGGTGATACCCAATATGAGTAGGTGATAACACTAATATTTTAGTGTAACTGGTCATTCAGAATCAGAGTGACAGCTTTTTATCCAAATGAAGCATAAGTAAGCATGTCAGTGTGCAAACCCTAGGTGGTTCCTCCTCATACAATCAGACCAGTCCAACAAAAGCTCAAGGGAGCAGCCAGATCGAGGCAAACATTCACTCACAAGGCATAGTGCAAAAATGACTGTTCATAGGCTTCTGAACAGCCAATTAAAATTTTTGGAAAATGACCTATGTGACACACCAAGCAAATTTCCTGCATGTCTCACATAGCATTTCATTCACAGTCATGTTAACTTTGGAACTTTTTTAGTTCCCTGTTATCACATGCAACTCATTTAGATGATTTTCCAAAAATGGTGCTAAAATTTGTTGTTCAAAACATTGGTTCAATGTGGACAGGATGGAGCTGTATAGTGGTATGAATGAGTGACCCTACCTAGAAATGATTGTTATAATAGAAAGAATGAATGAAATGAGAGTGACTGTGGTAAAAATTACATATCTTGATGCATGATGCTTTGTGATATGTTTGGATTCATGTAATCTGAACAGCTCAATCAAACATTTCAAATTAGATGGAGTAGCTTGAAGGAGGACCCAGGAAGGTCTCTCTTGACAGTGTGCATGGGATTTTTTCATATATATTTCCCATCCATCTGGTCCAGTTTATCTCCTTATTCTAATCATTTTTCCTTGATGTGATATTAAAGGACAGAGATCCCTCTACACCCACATGCACAAAAGACCTGTTCCTCCCTCTTCAGAACCTAGCAATAGGTGAGAAAAGTCTATTGCTGCTGTTTTTACCTCCAAACATTGACACTGAAACCTATCTCAATGTTAGGTGGCATATCTGCAAGTACATGCTTCCCAGTCCCCTGTTTTAGACAAGTTTTTCAATTCCTCTGCCTGTAAGGTTACCTGATTTTGTCCATTCTTTGCATACTTGTAGCTTGTAGAAGTATGTAGCAAAGAAGAGTCTCTAGAAGCAGCCAGGATTGCAAGGCACCCAGAAAAATACACCCTAAGGAGCTAGAAAAGCACACATCCCAGCAAAAGTTTTTCCCTTTCTAGGCTTTGAGATTGAACTCCTTCACAGGAGAATTCTGGACCAATCATTGCTCTAAATACTTTGATGGGAATGACTGGCATGAAGGAGGCATTCCCTTCTTAAATGTGTTCTAAATTAAGGAAATACACAAAGATTGCCATGATTGAGCTTTGGTCTGAGAAAATGTTTCAAGATTTAACAGTGGCATATTTTGGCTGAAGGAGTCAGGGGTGGCAAGGCAACAGCTGAACTCCACCTGAATGATATCAGGTGGGAAAATGATTTCCTCCAAGGGGGCAGCTGGCCCCCTGTAAAATACGCTGCTGAGATTTAACAATTGTTTGGTTGTCCAGAATGAGAATTTCTTCAAAGCTAAATGAATGTTCCCACTTGCAAAGAAACCAGTACAAATGCATTGACAGTTTAGGTCAGATTTCTGTTTCCAATAATGTAATATTTAGCACATCATCTCAAGTTTGCTATGACCTCATGGACTTTCCCCATATCCAGGCATCTTCAATGTGAGATAATGACTGAGCCTGCCCATGAGGCAGCTTCATCCCTAGTAGCACATAACAATGAATCAACATTGGTTCAACGACTGGATGTTGCATCAACGTTGTTTCAATGTTATGTGCTACTAGGGGTACCACATTGAAATTTACAGGCTGGTCAATATTGAAATGCATATAGTCAGTAGAGAGATAATGCTAACATGCCTTACTATCTACTTTACCTTTTATGGCCAAGTGATTCCATTTGGAATCATTATTTTCATCATTTTTTCCTGAACATTCTAGCTGAAAGATTTCAATCGGATTCATGAAGTTTGTATATTTTGAGTGTTTTGTTCAAAGTTGGGACCCATACAAGTCATTTAAATTGCTCTCACCATCATTTTGACAGACATAAGAAATTCAGTGTTAATTTTTAATTAGCACTAAGAGAATATACAATTAGTGATTAGATGTAGAGGGCATCGTTGAGGTCCAAGATACTCCATAGCTCAATCCAAGAGAGAGCACTAAAGAGGTAGCATCTGGGAAAAAAAATTAATTTACATATTGTTTTTTTGTGCAAGCCTACAGACTGACAGTTAATATGAGAACACTCCCACCTTCATATGACCTTTCCTTCACAGTTTCACAATCAACTGCATGTTATAATGTAGAATTGCAGGAGGAGCATATGTGACATGTCTCACAAACTGCCCAATGATACAACATGGCATCATTTCATATTGCTTTTCTGTGACAACACTTACAAACATTTTGATGTTTGATTGGACACATTAAACCCATATTCAGATGTTTCAAATTTTTCGTGAATAAAGGAAAAGTTTGGGCTAGAAAAGGTTAAGCTATCAGGAAATAGATGCTTAATCAGGACTTCCTGATACAGGTAGAGCCTAAATAATGACAAGACTTTTGCATAGAGGTGTGCATGCATATGAGTGATGTGTAGGATCTGTGAAAGAATCTCATGACAGGGATCTCACTCAACCTGGCATATTTAATGAATCATACAAAGACATAATCCAAGGTCAAGGAATGATAGAGGGGAGGGAGTAGTCAAGGAGGAGACACAATGTCTTGACTTGACTCAACATGGAAGTACACTCATACAAAAGCTCAGGCATAGCACCACAGAGATTCAGAGAATCCCTTTCAAGCAATATTGCTGGTGTGATTTCGATCCATTACATGATTGTTATTCTCTTCCACTGACATAACACTATTGCCATTGATGTCCCCATTGTTGTTCTCTTCAAGCAAGAGCTGGGCAGCCTGGGGATCATGTCTGACATCCTCAACAGACACATATGGGGGAGGAGGGATATCCTGCAGAGGTAATCTCACCACTTCAGAATATGCAGGAGGGTTCACTGCTGGCCCTCGAAGCTGGACACCATTGTTGATGTTGTAAGTAACAATGATGTTCCCAAATGTAGACTGAGTGTTAGGGTTCAGGTGCAACCCAACATCAGGATGAGAAAGATGATGATGCTCATGCTGATTCAGATAGCTGCGAACATGTCTTGAAGTGTACTTCATGATGCTACGTCGCATGTTGATGCGACAAACTCCGATGATAGAACATAAGACAACGAACACAAGAGCCAACACACATCCTGGAATAACAATCAAACATAACTTTATTGTAGCACCAAGTTGATTAACATCAGAAATGGGCTGTGAATAAAACTTACCAATAGTTGTCAGAACTGTAGACTGCAATGCATTCAAGTCATGGTCAAGCTGATATCTGGCATCAGAGGCTGAATACCCTGAAAATAAATGACAAAATTATTGCAACATAAGTTGCATCAAGGATCTAAAGCAATCTTCCAACAACAGCAGAGATTATTCTACCATTAACAAGCTGAGCGCAACATGGTGCATTGTTCCAGGAGGAACAATTTGGAGAAATCTGAGGAAAGCAACACAGATCAGGAGGCATACAACGACCATCATCACAATTCAGCTTCCCCTCACAAGCATCTTCCCCTGCAAAACATGAAGGGAAACAAAAGTAATCCTGTGTTAACTTACACATGTATAAGGTGTCATTTAGAACCAGCCACAGAAAATATACCAACCACATAAGTAGGGGGCTTCATCACCATCATCCAGACAGTCACCAATCCCATCACAAACAAATCTATTATGGATGCAGCCACCCAATGGACAACGAAACCAAAAATCTCCACAATGCGATAGATTGGGGGATCGTCGTACGTGTACAAAAATGCTTCGAAAAATAGACTGGCCAGTCTGAAGATGAGCCTCACAGCGATATTCTCCATTATCACTTGTTTGGAGATCAGAAATGGATAATAGGAAGAAATCCCCACCATCCTTTTGCGAGATTCTTCGAGTTCTACAAAGGACAAACAAAAATTGACAATGAACATTTCCAGGGTTGCCATAATGCCCATCATCACAGAAATGAAAAAAAGGGAGACATTATTGCCCTGGGGCCTACTTGTTGAGGGATGGTGAGGGCAAGATCCAGGATATTTTTGAAATGGCAGGAGTTTTCTCTGATGCATCCAGTTGATTTGCATGTTTCACTGGCAATACCTGACATGTGAGATTGAGGTTTTCACCAATTTGCCTGATGATCACCATCTTCTTGGAATCTCCATTGTCATCCACTCTGATTTTGAACTCATATTGACCATAGCCACCACCATTCCCTGAAAAGAAATTATTGGTCCAGATTTTCAGATATACATAACCAGACAGAGTGTCTCTATAATCAAGATCTGGACAAATGGTAACACTATATCAATATAAAGGCCCTTTTGTGAGTTTATTGATTGTCTAACATGAGGGAAAGGGGCTAGAAACCATCCAGTTTTAAACACTTTTATGATTTACAGTCCTCCAGAAATAATTGGCAGCTATACCAAGCTTTTGCATAAAAGATGTGAATAAAGTGAGATACCAAAATTATTACTGTATTTTATAATAAAAAAAAGCAGCTTAGCCAAGTGAAATAATGGTTTTTGAACAACAAATTCAGTTGTTCTGTGTTGATTATGTGAGACAGGCTATAAACAGCCTATAAATAACATATGCTCGATATGAGAATAAACAGTGACACTCAATAAATGTCACTTTAACGATTGATTTCTTTTGAAATATTGTGAACCATGACATGGAAGGTCTTCTACACTTCCCTACATTAAATTGATGTCCTCCGATAAACGGCCGATGCCTTCCACACTATTATGAATTTCTTCGGGAATAGAGACACATCCAGAACCACATGAAAGAAACATGCCATCCCAATCGTCACATGGGGTTTGCCTAGAGATCAAGACGAGGCCAATACATACTCACCCTCTGACTGGACGGTCACCCCAATGCATAAAATGCATACGATCAGGTGACATGACCTCATCTCCATTTCGTCATATGAATCCCTCTGAAGACTACATTCTCAATATGAACCAATGCTTTCTGAAGTGCGAATGATTAATGAATTCTTCACATCACTTTGTAGGACATGTCGTCAATCACCACCAAACGCCCCGCGATGGGAAGCTCCATGACAATCTGATTTTTTCAGTGTTGTCACACAGAATGTGGATACATTTCATTCGTATGGCAACAATTCAATTGAATGTGCAGTTCAGAAAATGAAGCAACAGAACACATTATATAACAGGGAAAAGAAATCCTGAATGCAATTAGAGTCACAGCTAGAATTTTTGCATAAATCCTACTCACTTGCATTACTCCTTCAGAGTCGAAGTTCCACTATGTATCTTTCAGCCTCCATATTAAAAAAAAAAAAGAAGTTATAATTGAAAGTCATTAGAAGCCCTTATTCATATACATAAATTACATGAAGTCGATGGGGGAACGCATTAACCGTTGACGGACGGTGAGGGAGGAGGCGGGTCTTTTTCGGGTTGGCCGGAAAAGCATCCCTGATCTCTATTGCCTCCTCTGGCCAGTGCCGTGCCAGTCTGTAAACAAGCTGCTGTTGTGGTTCTCTCTTCGCTGATTCTATCGAGCATGCTTCCCGAGTACAACCTGGATAGACCCTAGTTAGACATAGCCAAATTGCTACATATTAGAGTAGATCTGTCAGAGGAAACACGTGCAAAAAAAATTTGAATTTTCAAAAATTTAACGTATCCCTTCCGAAGAAATAGCAAGTTGGATTCTAGCGTAACTAATGTTTCATTTCAGTCCGGCGCCTTGAGATTAACGCGACACTCGTTTAGGTCTAGCATGTGGCGCGTCCAATGATTGTGAGCCCTAGTAAACTGAAAAGTATCGAACTTAACTAAGAAAAAACTTTGTAACAGCTCATATTAATGAGTAGCATTAACCTAGGTGGGATTTTAATGGTCAAGTATACTTAGCATTCATCGAAGGGTAAAAAGTAAGTATAGCAACTAATGTTGGACAAAATTAGGCCTAGACCTTTTGTGCTACTTCAGGTTGTGACATGCACCTCTATTTGTCACTTTGAGCAACAATTTTTATTCATGTTGAGAGTTACCACTATACCACAAGGATCATATGAGCTAAAGCCAAGAGGGCTGATATGGCCCACCCATAATTGCTAAGTGTGGAGTTTTTTGGTTTTATGTTAGTTATAATTGCTGAAAAGTATGGTAACCTCTATTGAACCATTCTTGGAATGAGACCTTAGTTTAGCTGGGTTAGACCTAGGCCTGTATAGAAGTAAGCTTCCTGGCCTGTGATGTAGACATATATGGGTAGTGCCAAAAAGCAAAAACAATGGTTAAATCCATAATAGGAATCCAGCCCATTCCTCAAGGCCTTATTGAGAGGCCATGAGAGGAAGGTGGTATAGACTAAATCTAGGCATATTTATTCCTAAAGCAAAAGCAATTGCTTTCTACTATTGATTTTTCTTATTTTTGATGTTCTTTAGCCTGTTTTGCTGTCATGTCTGTCTAAATCTTGATCAATGCCAGCACTTACCTCAGTCCAGGCCTGCCCATAATTTAGGCTTGGTGTAGTATAGATGGCATGGAACACATCATAGTCCATGACCTCCATAATCCACTAGAGACAGATATCACATGCTTTTACTCTCTGTCCTTGTCTAGACATATCAAAGTCTTTGCCTTGGCTTATCATAGCCCTTGCCCAGGCTTTTCTTTCAACTGAATTCATGTTGATATTTAGAAGAGAACTTAATACTAGCCAGGTTGAGCACTTCCTTCCCTGCTTAATAAGACTAATGTTTCTCACTTTACTCAGACATCCAAGGATGAGGAATTTCTCATGCACAATCATCTAACCAAAATGAGAATTTGTCAGACTTATGTGAAAAATTCTGTACTTATCCCTGACTCCTGTGGGGTTGGAATCAGTTTTAAATATCTAGATATTTGAACCATATAGATTACATTGCCACTTTAGATTGGATGTTCTCCTATGTTTCTATCCAGAAACAGGTATCTCAAACCATCTTTGTTATTGAAAATTGTGAGAAAGGGAGGCTTAATGGAAGCATAATACATTATTCTTCATTTGTAGACCATGAGATGTATTGGAGATATAATTACAGGACTATGGAGTAGACTTATATGGGGTAATGGGTGTTCATCAGCTTTCAGGGATTAATATTGTGAAAGTATGAAGCATTGTCTATAATATGAAGGACTGGGCTCTTATTTTTGGATTTTTCTTGGCTGGACTTGACCCAGAGTTGTGCAGAGCACAATTTAAATAGTCTTTTCCAGCTTGGATATTTGATTAAATGGCCAACCCTTGAAGCTTCTTCAGTCCAGCACGGTAAATAAATATGTAGACTGTAACATTTTTGGAATTCCTAGTTCTAATTTGAGAAGTAATCTTTGCTGCAGGTGGTTTTAACGCTACTCATTCATAGCTTGTTGTTTGATGTGGCCGTAATCTAATGTGAATGGTGACCCTGATTGGTTGTCATCGAACTGGGTTTCACATGATGTAGACTAATCAGATCATGTGTATCAGTAGACAAGAGACGTAAACCGGCAGGTTTTTTATGTAAGAAGCTTGCATCACCATAACCCTTTTATTCCTCTTTCGTTCTCTCATCCAGGGTCAAGGCCTATGATGTGAGTGACAGCGAGATGCTAGATCGTTTAAGCATATACAGTGATCAGTGCAGCCCCGGCCGTGAGGATAAGATCGAAAGGTGTGACCGAGACGAGAAATGTACGTCCGTGGCCAAGCTCACCGAGCGATTCGAGCAAATCGGCCTGGCCGATACGTACAAAAACAACGACATCGGTACGGATGTTTCCAAGCCCTCGCCGAACCCCCCGCCTAGACGAAGCAAGGCGTGGAGACGAGAGAATGGGGAAGGTCAAAGCAACAACGACGGAAGTACTTTCATCGAGGAACTCATCCTCAACAGTCCCCTTCCCGAAGGACCCCCGCCGAAGAAACCCCCGAGGACTTTCCAATACGAAAAGAGGTTTGCGTCATCGGAACCGGAAGAGAACGGTGGGTTCGAGAGGAAGGGCAGACCGAGAAGGAAGAGGCTTCCCCAACCGCCGTGCATGATAACGCGGCCGAACTTCCCCCCGCCGTCCCCGCCGACCGAGGACGGGGAGGAATCCTCGCAGAGGATGAGCCTCAGCGTAGAAAACCTCCACGTCTTGGGCGTCCGGGACTCGCAAGGGATCGGCAACGAGGACGCCCGTTCGGACCGCGATGGAGTCGTTCTCCCGTCGCAGGATTCTTTCCAGGGACTCCGGCGGCATTCGTTCCAGAAGGAGAAGGCCGAATTCGATCTGCGTCACATGGTCAGTTTTTCTCTTTTCGTTCTGTCAGTAACCTGTTTTGGTGCCGTTCGTTTGTTCTCGGAATTCCTCCAGCGATCGAATGCGTTCAAGCGTCAATCAAGAGCTGTCAGGAACCTAATTTAAAAAAACACATACGGGTGATATGGCATCACTCTGCTCTCTTGGGTTCGCCTTAACGTGTAGGGTTCTTTCACCCGAGGGAGTCAAGCTGGGATACCGACGTGAATATATGAACGGGATGGTAAATGGCATGGCCAGAAGCCAGTCTAAACGCACCGGTACCAATAATATAAACAGTGCCAATAAACAAATGCCATGCCGATGCTCCGATACTTGCCATGCCCTATACTTGAGGGACCTGACGAAGATCAGGCCTTCAGATATGGTTTCGTCGTTTTGTGACTCGACGGGAAAAATAATCAAGGAATCTCGAAGGACATTCTGGATTCCTGACTAAAGGGGTGTGGTCTAATTGACAGCTTCGGTGAAATCACGAAAGGATATCGAAACTGTTATCTCTTGCCTCTGGAAGTCCAATCTACTCTTCGAGTCGGCGTCTCACAGACGACCGGGGCATCCCGAGGGATACGCGACGCAGTAGATGAATGACGGCTCGAAGCGTCGCTCGAAGGGAAAGGAGGAAAACTGATGGAGAGGCCGGGTCACCGCGTGGGAATTCGGGGATGAAATTTCAATCTAAATGAAGACACCGCGTCCCTCTCGGCGGAATCCTCCCTTGGGACACGGGAATCGAATTGGTTTCGAGGGGAACCGCAGGTTTTTATGGCCGCCAATCCTAATTACCTTTTTTTTCGGGCGAGAGTTCCCTCATAAGAGAGAGAGAGAGAGCGGGCGGGATGTTGGAGTGTCACGCATGAGGAGGCAGGGGGAGGCTTCCCCGTCGAGGTTGTGTCAGTGACCACTCTTTTATCCTTTCTCGATTCCATTCTTTGTATGTCGCGGAGGAAATGACTTCATATCGAGGGCTTCATCATGCCGGAAGTGGTAATGCTCAGTTTTAATTACCCTGGAGTCGTAAAAGCATCTTTACTCGCTTAAATTCATTAAAATGTTTATCCTCCCATTCATGAACGGAGAGATGTCATATGTAAATAGAAAATTATTGGTCTAATGACAGACCACCAAAGTTTGTCTCTTCTTTAAAACAGCTGACCGGACAAACCGCATACTTTCGTTGATGAGCCCTCCATATGTTGATTAGGAGGAAAACAATCCCATTTTTCCTCGTCTCGGAAGAGCCAAGCTCTGCCAGGCACGGACTCGTTGGCCTTCCTCTGCGAACTTATCCTCATTCTGTCCTCCTTGTAATTTGTTTAAATTCAAATGCCTCGAGAATAATGAGTAATGCCGCAGGAAGAACGAGGATTCGGTCCTGTTACCCCGCTACGAAACCGATTGGAGTCGAGGGAGGGTATTTATTCCGTGACGTGAAAGAATTGGAGTCGAGATAGGGTACTTGTTCGATGACGTATGCCCTGCAATCGAAGACGATCACGGGTGAGGGCGCAATCGGGTCGATGGGTTTCTCCAGTGAAAGGAGGGAAGGCACGGGACCGCTAGGGAATTTGCGTAGTCGAACGGATGGGGAATTGTGTTGGGCAATACGCGATGCTCATCGTCGCCGAGGCGGGCGATAAGGAGGTCCGTGGCCGCCCCGCTTCCCGTCGTCGAGGAGGGGAGGTATGGGGAGGAGGAGAGCGAGGGGCATTCCATCTCGGACGACAGGGGATTCGTGTGGAGACGGACTGGGGGTTTCAAGGCTTTTTCTCTGCGGTTTTCGAGTTGGGCTGTGACCGTGGACGCGGAGGAGGATCTTCGAGGCTCTTTTCATGAGATCTGCCCAGACTCCTTTCCTTCTTTTCTTTTTTTCGCTCGACGGGAACACGAAATAGGCGACTTCTCACGAGTAATTGCAGTTTCATCGCCGCATCTGGGAACGCGGAGTGCGTTGTCATTCGAACAGCTCTGAGAGCTCGAACCGAACGGATGTAGAGATATTTGTGTATAAATATTCATGAGAATGGATTTTCGGTTCGTTTATCTGATCTTGCAAAGAACAAAAGAAAGAGGAAGGAAAGACTGATGGGTGTTTGAACTTTAGGTGCTCAGGGCTGTCACGCAAGTTTCACTTACTTGACGCTTGTATGAGAACAACTTTCTTCCGACTCAACTCAGAATCCGTGTTTGTTTTGTGTTTTTTTTTTTGGTTTGGTATGTGTTGTTTTATTACTATTATTTGCTGGTTCGCTGTTTCCCATGACGTATTTACTTGATGCGATCCAGAGATTTTCTTGCTTTTTTTCATCATCAATCTTTACTATTTCTTGTCTTCATCTAATGTGAAGTTAAATAGTCACTCCGCCCCGTTTTCGTCTGGTGTGCTTGCCCCACACAAGCCATTTCGGCTAACGCGACAGCGCGCCCCCGGCGCGGCACCACGCTGGGCGACTTCCTGGCCTCCACTTAAAACGGTCTTCCATTAATCTTTCTGGTGTGATGCTCTGCTGTTGTCAGCGATGACCAGAATGTGATACAGGCGAGCTGGGAACCGGTGTCGAGAGGACACGAGTGACGCTTTCCGGTTCTTAGCCAGTGTAGCTGACTCGTAAAAAAAATACAGAACCTCTTTCGTGCGCTAAATCGAATGGATCGTGTTAGGGGGAAACCACTTAAGATTTTCTTTTTTCACTTGTCATCCTCGAGGAGGAATGAAATAAGAGGTGGCAATGTGACCCCGACCTGCAGGGTAACTTTTCCATCTGAGTATATTTCTAAGGCCCGAATGCCTCCTTTAATTAACACTTAGAGCCCTGGCAGTTTGAATGCTCCATGGGCGGAGGACGTCACTTGACGGCTGCTGGGCTCGAAGTGTTAATGGTCGTCTGATGGTCCATGAATTCTTGTGGGGGAAGAAGAGCCCTTTAGCTTAATCCGTTTGGTCCAAATTTAATGAGAAATAATGTGGAGATCTGGGTTTCTTACAGCACGCTGTTGAAGATAATCTTTATCCGTATTCGCAATTCAAATTTGACAGGAGTGCAATTTTCGTAATTTTTTTTACATAATTAGAAGCTACATAATTCATGAGGATCGTAGCTTAGGCGTTGCCTCACCGGCGTGGAATATAAAGACGAAGTTACGGGACTCCTCGAGTCCTGCCAGGAACGAAAGGGTTAAAGGCCTCTCTCTCCTTAATGGAGTTTGTGCATTCGGGCCTCAGAATTACCGTTCGTATTTAATGAAAAATCATTTGCCAGGCTGCTCCTTTGATGACTATCGACTTGTACGTGAGAAATCGTCCATCTGCCTGCAGCACGGGGAAGGCAAAGAAAAAGAAAGCTCAGAAGTATGGGGGAAATATCCCATTTTTCAGTACTTCGCCTGATCCCGTGACGCCGACGTAGCAAGTGTCGAGCGTGACAGTTTCATGGATTCGAGTTCTAGGAGTCGATCTGAATCGATGAAATCCTCTGGAGCGTGCCAGCGCGGACAGGATTCCCGAAAAGGAAGGGGGGGGGGGTGATTCTCGAGGGGTTTCCTGTTGTTTCTGCCTCGAAAAAGGCGAGCCGCTAAACCGCATCTAAGAGTGCGACTGACTTCGGTCGTACCACTTCGACCGAAACACCTGTCCGAACCCGGCCTACAGCCGGTTAGAGCCGAATGCACGGCCGCAAACGATGATGCTCGACCGGCATCACTTCTAAGGAATTGTATCGAGAATGGTAGGCAGGGCTGTTGCGTGGGATGCTGGCAATTCCAGGCGATGACACTCGAGTATTCACGGGGGTTGGGGGATTTAGGTCAGTCTCTAAGGGGAATACAGTTGACGCTTTCGCCTCGATGTCGTTCTTGTTTGGGGTTGAAATTTTTTTTTTTTTATTCTCTTCTTTCCTCACGTTCTCGAGAATCCGCAAGCTCATCCTGATTCGTCTCAAATTAGTCGCGGATCCCTGGATCTGAATTGCGATCATCTCGGCCCACCCGTGGGACAAAGAACTGTCCCATCCTCGCCGGGGCCCTTCAAACGAGCCGAGGTTTTAACCCTTTCGAGGTCTTCATAACGAGGGCTTCCTTCTTCCGTTCTGGCATCCGTGGGAGAATCGATCCCCGCGTCTGGCATCCGTGGGGGGGATTCTCCCCTGGGAACGGGCGTTCACGGTCACGAGGTGTGAACGCCCTGTCGATTTGTCTTCGCTTGTCGTGATCGTGATGTTGAGGCGTGAAACTGGCGATCATCATCGCGATGAAGATGATACGGGGCGAGTTTCCGAGAAGTTTCTCTGGAGGGCCGCGAAGCATGAAACGCTGACCCGCCGTCCTTTTGTTTGCCCGTCACCGGGGAGAAAAACACACAGAGAGGTAAAGGGACCTTTGGGTCTCGAGGTCGGTCATCTGCCGTGTAATCACGAGGTCCGCTCGGTCCGCCCTGCCAATCGTGCGCGTCGTTCCCCGTCCGAGGGGGTTAATAACGGAGCGGTCGGAGCCACGAAAGAGATTTTAGGAACGGAAGTTCTTCCTCCGACCGTATCGGATTTTTGGGTTCCGCGAAGCGGCGGGAATTTCCCCCAGGGTCGTTTCTTCCGCTTCATTTGATTCATCGTTGGAGCCTGTCATTACGGAGGCGTGGGAGAAAGGAGACGATTTCGATCTGGTCCTCGAGTCGATCTGGGTCGTGCGTCGAGAAATTGGACCGCTCTATGATTTAAGGAGAGAGCTGATTTTCTTTTATGTGACGTGATGATGGAGGTCTTAAATCGGGAATGACATGCTCAGCATGCAAGAAACCGGGTCGCATGATGGGGATGTAACGAGCGTCGTGACACGCTCGTACACGCATGGCATCTTGCCCGCGATTTTCCATCCTCGATTTCGCCATTTGCCTGCTTCTGACGGGGAGTGGGGGGGGGGGGACTGGAAGAATGCAGTCGCAGTGTCTCTGGCTCGACTTATCGTATGCGATTGCTTCCTATGGGGTTCTTTGTTCCGTGGATGTGGAGATCCGGGGAGGGAGGCGGGGAGCCTTTGGTGGGCTCGATGGCCGGCCTCGGATGGCCGGTGTCCTGGAAACAGAAAAGGAGGCACGGGGATATAGGCTATAAATTGCGACACCACGCCCTAAACTCGGGTGTACCGGATGAAATCCCTTTCGAGTTCGCGCTCCGTTGTCCTTTTCTGCTTACTCACGTGCTTCCTGGTCTTTCTTTACTCCCCTCGCGTCGAGAAGGAAAAGAAGTCGTCTGGATCGACACGAGGCCTGTCGATTCCCGGTCGATCGGGCGCGTCGGCTTCACGGGGCGACGGTGTGTTTAACTGGTCTTTTCGCATGGCTGGTCGTAGGGTTTATTTGCTCGGCCGTTCCACGCTGCCTTTAGCAACGACAGATTGGCGTTAGCTCCCGTGACCTTTATTTTTTTTCTCGTCGGTTCTGTTACTCGGAACGAGGAAGTATCTCCGGCTCCCACATGTCAACTGGGTTTTTCAAACTCCCAGGCTTTCTTTTTTTCCTCTCTTGCTCTTGGGCGTTGAAGTGCAACGAATTATGAATCCCTCTTGCGTACGTGTTTACCTTAGCGGTTCGTCCATAAAATATACGGAGAGGTCTCCCTCTCGGTGTGGCTGGCACATTCGAAATTGATGACGCGGTTTCGAGGTTTCCTCTTGCCTCTTCCGCCGTGGGAAGGCGATGCCGAAGGATTTTCCCGTCCAGCTCCTCGGCGTTCTTCCGCCTCGTCATGAACGAACTCAGTAACAGCAAGGACTGTTTTTTTTTATTCTTTTTTTTTTGCGTCTGTCGATCGGATGCGGCAGTTGGGTTGTTGTGATGTGAGGCTTTCAAGGAGATGGAACGGCCGTGTAGGGGGGGTCGTAGTTCGTGAAGGGAGGGGGGGGGGGGACAACGTGATACTGATACATGCCAGTCGTGATGCTACTGACTCAACCGTTTTTCCCCACCCTTACGTCATAAGGCTATGTGGGCCAAGGAAGGAACCCCAAAGGTGTCCCTCTCCTGGACCCCGAAGGACAAGCAAGTATAGAGGATCGAGATGTCCGCCTAGCACGTGCCTTGAAAATGACGGAAGGTTTTTTTTTCCATGGCTTTTATCATTTTTGTTCATGTGTTTCAATTCAATGTATTTATTAACTCTAAATGTTCTTCCTTCCTCATGAAATTCCTCCATTTTTATTTTTAAAAGTCCGGTATAGTCATCTCGTTTCTATACCGTTATTATTTTAGACATCTTTTAGATATGAAAATGATGGATTATTTTGTAGATTATTTCATGCATTATTTTTACGCTTGTTTTTATATAATCAATTGCCGCTTCATCGAGCAATTAGATGGACATTAAGGAAAAGTGTCCTGGCAAACAAATCTCCACCCACACTTTCTCCTCGTTACGGGCCCCGCTATTAATGGGCAGGTTTCTCTCTCGCTCTCGAGCGGCCCACCACACCCACGAAACGTGACCTCGGCGCCCCGCATGATCGCCCCGAAAGGAATCGTCTTTCACTCGGGCGGATTCTTGCATTCGTGTGTGTCGCCGATCCAGGAAGAGCCCCCCTCCGTTCTCCCGGCCCCTCTTCTTCTGCGCGGATAGGTGGTGTGTGAGGTCCTTTTTCACGGGTGAGTGGTCGCCGTAGAGAAGGTAAAAGTACCGGTCTGTATCCGTCACAATGGGATGGATGCTCCAGGTCAGATGGACGAGTCCGATTGCCCTTCTCTCGCGGTTCCTTTCACATGCAAGTCCCGTCCCGCCGTCCACCATTAGCATCTTCGTGGGGCAGGCGGGACCGGTGCAACGCCCTAAGAGACGGCTCGAGCTTCGCTTTGCCAACTGACGGGGAATGGATCCCGAAATCTTGCCTTGGGACGATTGCGCACCGGATCGAGATAGGAACATGTTGTGCGGTTCGAGAATGAAATATGTCCGACGGATCACAATATCCGTTGTTCCCTTCGTCTATCTATGCGCAATTCTTCCGTATCGTTCGATTGTTCGCTTTTTGTATTTATTCCTAAGTTTTTTTCTCCTCATAATTCCGCTATAAGTGTTAAGGAAAAAAATTTGTATGGGTGTCAGGTAGGGAAAAGGCATGCGTCGAAGAGAACACGGCCTTGGGAGTCGAAGATGGTATCTAGGAACCAGCTCATCTTGACTGGAGGTCAAATATCAACGTTATATCCTTGTTGATTTTTTTTGGGTATTGTATCCTCGTAGAGTCCGAACGGAGTTCGCGTGACAGTGAGAGGAGGAAATCCGGACGACATGGAGTCGCGTAAGAAGCCGTCGCTGAAGCGGGGGAAGCCCGTGTTGCATTCCCCGGAGAAGCCCGTCGTGGTCGTCCACCGCCGCCCCGAGGAGGGACAGGACCAGGCCAGAACCACTCTAGTCTCCGTTTCGTCCGTGAGTTTCGTCGGCGTGTCTTTGGGGGGGGGCCTTATAAGGAGATGTTATCGGTTCGACTGGAGACGGGAACGGCATGGTAATGTTGTATGATTTGCGTCTTACCGTTTTGAATATTTTTTTTTTATGCGTGTTTTATTTCGATGGGGACCCACCATATAAATGTAGCATATCGGTGCCGAAGGGTCAAAACCTGTTATCTCGAGATTTTCATGCGCAGCTGTTCCACGACGATATCAAACGAAGTACCGTACCTAATCATAAAGTTAATCCCTCGAGCCGTAATCCCGAGAACGTACTCGTAGCACCGTGCGTTAGCTAGCAACGGTACCCCGAGTAGAATTGCCGGCTTTAGAGGTTAAGAAAGCCTGAGGGATGTCAAGATGATGTGGTTTCATGTTGATACGTGCTCTACGGCCATCTAGGAAGACGGTAGCGTCCCGTAAGTAGTTGCGAATCATAATTTTTTTTAATGTTGCCTACGGCATTGCGAACTCGGGTTCTCTATTAGTCGGAATTAGTAAGTATAGCACTGTAGGTATAATACATTAATGTGCTATACCCAATTACATCTTTCGAAAGCTCTCTCTTTCTTCTTTGATTGAATATACAATACATGAGCACTCAGCGCAAGGCCTGACAGGGCGACGAAGGGATGATGGATGGGTTCATCCCGCCCGCTGCTTCTCGATGGCTCACTATTTTTTGCTGGTCTATTCTTATCCCTTGTTACGTGGAACTACATGCTCTTTAGATGATTTCAGCATCTACTGCAGAATGGATGTTCTATAGTCCGTAGTGTTTTGTTAAAAGATATCGTGATAACGCAATTTAAACAAATTTGCTTTTTTAAAATCTGTAGGTGGTTAAAAGCACTTGCTGAGAAGCAGCGTGTCTTTGCCTAGATGGATACTGGAATGATGGTTGGACGAAGTGATGCAACGGACGGTGGTGGAGGAGGAGGGGGAGGGGTTTCAGTTTCTGAGGTGTATAGAAACATATATATCTTCCGTTTTTTCCGTCCCTGTCGAGAGACAGCTGGAAAGTAAGGATTTTATTGCTAGTCGAACCAATGATTTGCGTGATTTAAATGTTTACATTTCAATTTAAGTTGATTGTAATTTAAAATTAAAAAATCTTTGTGCTTTTTTTTAAAGCCTTGTTGAATCCATGAAACTAAATGAACTGTCTTTGCCTGGGTTAAAACATAATTTGAGGAGGAAAGGGTTGAAGTAGTTTAATAGTTTAATGGGGGGTGGGGGCAAAATAAAAGACGAGAGGAAAAACCAAGATTCAGAAATGAAATGAGTAAAAGTAAAAGGATACAAGGAGCTATTAATGGTTGCTTCCGTAAGTATAAGAAACAAGATATCCAAAGTGAAAGAGCAATTACGGTGGGTTTGCCCTAACAGCATAATTTCGTAATCACTGTCACTCCATGACCTTTGAATCATTCTTTCCGATTAAGGGCATTGCGATTAGGCCGAACGGGAAAAAAATTACAGCATTCGCCGAGAGAGTTATTTTCTGATGTTAAGCAGTTCTGGTAAGGGAAAATTCACAAATGAGTGAACGATTTTCCAGGGTCAGAGGTGCATGTTTCCTGAAAGTCATTCTATCGGTCAAACTTTCATCGGCCATTAATTGCAACCAAATGTGATACTTGTGTTCCGTTTCTTCTGGAACTGGAGTGCGCGAACTTTTGGGGCATAGGGGTCGCACAACCTGCAGGCTGCGTGCAGCAAAATCGAAAACTTTTAGTTCATAATCAAGATTATTTTAATCGGAAAAAACCAAACACTCCTAATGAGTACTTATGTGTGAATGGAGGAGCTGAGAATTCCTAGCAATACAATAATTCCTTCCCCCCCCCCCCTCCTTCCAATTTCCTCGTGGGTTGCACTCATGGCAAAGTAGTAGAAAGGACTCAGATGTTTCTGAAATCGATTCAGGAACTGTTGGGTGCATTATTGCGTCATAACGTTGACTGAACAACATACAATGTCCAAACTTCATTGTTGCCTGGGAAATGGCCCTTAAACAAAGCATCCTATCACATTGTTCGTTTGGCTCAGAACATTCATGTGATGAAAGCTTCATTTGTTCTGAGGGAAAACCTGCCAGGTCTGGTCGTGTCATTTAGCACTCCTGGACCTCATTGTTGATTTTAAAGGTAAAATATGTATATATATTTTTAAATATATGTTTAAATTCTTATTGATAAGTCTTTTTGATGCTATATGACGCATTTATATAAAATTAAAAGGTTTTATTACCTCCTCTTTCCAAGGAAGAAAGGAAAGGTCGAAAATACTTCTAAGGAGTTCGGAGCTCGGAGTAACTAGCAACGAAAGGAGAAAGAGAAGATGCACAAGCTTTCTGTGTCTGCCCAATTTGTCTCTTGTCCCTTCTCGTGGTGTCTTCCTAATGAAAGGGTGGGTGCCTTTCATCAGGAAGACCCAACGAAAGCTTGTGCCTTCTTGGGGTGGGTCTCTCTCTCTTTGCGCTTTTTTTTTTATTGCCCTGTTTCTGTGCCTAGAAAAAAAAAACCTTTCGTTTATTTCTCGGAGATGTGTTACATGTTACTCCCTGTTTTCGATGTTAATTTGTGGCTGGTCATATTTTAAATATATTTAACATTCGATATGAAACAAATTGAGTGACTTATATATTTATGTACGTGAAGTTCATTCATGGTGAAACGACGAGAACCAATCCGCCTGTTTCTTTCTATTCATTCTGAATGGATGAAATGGAGCTACTGCCTGAGGTAACAAGAATCAGTGGTACAGATAGCAGGAAGCCTTGTCGAATGGTTCTTTTTTCCCCCGTCTTTCTCTCTCTTTCTCTTAAGTATGCCACTTTCCTTTCAAACCGAAACTCTCAGCCTTCTCTGGTTCATTTCTCTCCAGTCTTTCATTTCTATTCGAGGTTTTCGCCAGTCCGCCAGCTGACGATCTCTGAGAGTGTTAAGCTGTCCACAATTTGACGTGGGATCCCATCCGTTTCGTGCCCCTTTTCCCATATCCTAGCTTTTCACCGTAGCGATAAGGTGTTGGGACATTCTCTCCCCCCGTCTTTCACGCCACGCCATCGCATCGACTCATGGCTCGTTGAGTTCTCGTCCCGATATTCATCTGCGTGGAACTCGAAAGAGGAAAGAAGGAAGCCGGCATTGCGCCATGCATTCCGTAACCTGAGCGTTGCCGGATAGCCGTTATCACTTTGGCCAACCGTCTCAATTAAATGCTGTGATATTCCGACTTCTCATGTAGCATACTCATTGCGTAGCGTGCCCCAGATGGGTTTCAATACTTTGTATCGAAGTGGAATTTGATTTGCTTAGCCGTAGTAGGATTATATGTGAATGAGCTCATTCCGATCGAATGGATTCTCGTACAAACTTGAATTCCGATTCTAAACAGTGAAGCAAAAAAAAAAGAAGCACTCTTTGATGCTTGTCCATTATTTTTCTATGTTCGAGTCTCAGGTCTTCCAAAAGCCGGATATTCCGTAGTAACTAGTTGTCATCCCAGGCATTACGTAAGCTGTGGCATTCTTACTTTGATTTGTTCTTTGTTTCTGACTGAAGTCCCTCTGGACTTATAAAATCTTCAGTGGACCTTAAAAAATAGAGTAGGCTTACTGATGATAATGATGGGGTAATCGATCTCGATATGTTCCGAGCTACATCCGTCATGTGATGGACGCCACTGGATCGAAACGAGATCCGTCCTTGATTCGAGTGATTGAGAGTGTGCGACGTGTGGCCTTGGAAGGGAGGGGAGGGAGTCCTCGTCCCGATATAGCCATTAAATACGACTCGTTCGTCGATTCCGGGTAGATCGAGGCGTTCATGGACGAGGCCCTGCAGAGGATGCAGGGGATGAGCGTGGAGAGGAGCAGCAGCAGCACGGACGAGTCCTCGGACAGCTTCCACGACGATGCGCCCACCAGCGACGAGGAGCATTCCGAGGACCCGCAGCCGCCAGCTGCCTTCAACTTCCTGGAGTTGAAGCAGAAGTGGGCCGAACGGGAGCAGCTGGCCGAGAGGCGGAAGCAGTACGTTCGCGGCGTGAGTCGGCGGGTCAGCTGTGCCCACCGCAAGAACCTTGCCCGGAACCACGAGCATCTCTTCGACTGCGCTCTCGTCATCGGACTCGGCTACGACGCCCTCACCCGGATTTACGAGCCCTACGTGAAGAGCGTCTACCCTCCACACGTGAGTCATCTCACCGCGGTTGAGAATGCGGTGCCGTTCGTTCGCTTCTGTCGGGGAGCTCAAGCACGACGAAACATGACTCACGAGTCCATAAATCCTCATATCTAAATTATCACCAAATGTCAGATTTATTTTCTGTTTTTCTTCCGACTAGTCACCCTCGATATACCACCACTCGGTAAACCGCCACCCTCGCTCACATCAAACTCTTCCCTGAGAACTAATCCTCCCTATTGGTTTATAATAGAGAATCCCCCGTTACAGGGCCACCCTCACAAGTCGCCATCCGCCGACATTATTTATACAAACATGTTTTTTCTCTCATAAATCCTCCTGGATTTTGCGCCAAGTAGCATACCTGCCGCAACCCTTACCCAGTATTGTACGTAGTTAAGTATTTTTCTCCAACTGTCCAACCGATAATGTAACATAGTGAGACTGTGAGAAGTGACTCATACTCTTTGATTGGGTAGTGTATAGGAAAAATTGTGGAGTATCGGAGAGGGCTAAGGGTAGCAATGTGGCAATATAAGCTTCACATCCATTTTGGCGATTTGTCCTTGAGAGGTTTTGGGATCGTAGCCTCTAGCATACTGTGGTTCATTCGATATAACGCCAAAATCTGCGACGACCAATAGTGGCGGTATATCGAGAGTTGGCTATATTTATCTTTTGTCCAAATATGTTAACCTTTTCGCTCAACTCGAACCCAAATAGGCTCCGGGACTGAAGCAGTTTTTAATTATTTTACGTATATTTCGCGCAGACATTCATCTATGACACACTTCGTACTGAAGCAGGGTGTACATTGTTACCCCAATTGTAACCATGTGAACCAATTATTTATCTAATTACATCTCGTTATGGAAGAATCTTGAAATTAGGGGTTGATTTGCATACTGGGTGATGCAAGGAGAACGTAGAAAGACGAGATGTTTCAGTACTGGATGAGTTCAAATGAAAAACACTCGTATAACCGTGGGAATTGACACATATTTGCCTGATGATAAAATAACTGTATATATGGTCTAATGACGCTTCCTATGCGTCTGACCTGGAGTATTTTTTTTATTTTATCCATTGTATGCCCAAGTCTCCAAAATATCCTCGAAATCCCTTCCTTTCAGGCCAAGTATGCTGCATCAATCCCTCTGTTCTGCTTTCCCGATGCCGCCCACTTCGACGAGAGAGAACGCGATGCGTGTCGGACGTATACGATGGTGCTCACTGACGAAAGAGGCGACAGGACGTTTGGTTACTGTCGCCGGGTCATGCCTGAAGGGCAAGACGCCTGCATTCCCCTTGCATATTGCTTGGTCAGCAAGGTGCGAGCCCATGGTTTCTACGAGAAGGTCAGTTTCGTCCACGGATTCGGAATTGAGAAAATGGGATCGAGGGGAGATTGGGGACAATCAAGATTTACCTTATTCCTCAAGGCACTAAACTTGATGCGTACATAACATTATCTCATGATTGGTGGTGTAAGTACTTAGTGGCTCAATGATCTATGTAACTACGCAGTTGGAGACCCTGATTCTTCACATGTACAGTTAGTGATGATTGCAGTCACAGATAATAAATGTAAGAGCTTCAACTCGAATGAGCTTTCTCTTTGCATTGTCTAAATCTACATAATATATAAAAATCACGAAAATATTGATGATTATGAAGAATGGCCATATCTTGATGCTCTTTATTATTTATGCAATTCACATTGAAGATAGTCATATAAATTTGAAACATACTTCATTTTAAGAAGCGCATGGTCTAGACTAAAGACACTTTCCCCTGAACCCCACCCCCAATACCTTGCTGATTATGCTGATATGCTGTAATCTCATCTAACCTGATATGGCTTAGATGAGGTCACACATCACACAACTCTAAGCATCTCACATCATATGTTGTTTTGTTCACAAGCCTCATACAAAAGCTTCCCTGTAATTACAGCAACCCTACTCTAGTTTCATAAACAAGTAGCTCTGTGTGTGAAACATGTTTAGTCCTTGCCCTCAGTCATGGGTCACCACAGCCTTTCACTTGTAAATTCAGCATTTTATAGGCCGGCTGCTTTTGTTGGACCTTGTTGCTCTGGATTTAACTTGAAGTACTTGTATTTTTCTGTCAGGTCCTCACCTTGTTGGAAAGTCAGCATGGGTCTTCCGAAGCCGAGATGACCCAGTTTTTGGCATCCTTGAGGATCCAACCCATCCCCCCACCAGGGAAAGCGATCCAGGTCCCCTCCCTGCCGAACAATGGGAGTCTAGTCGATGGAATACGGAACATCAAGAGACCCGTCGACAGTCGCCTGGAGAATCGGGACCTCTGTTCTCTTGTCCAGAAGATTGACTTCAACACTTTGATGAAACTCTTGGGGTCTCTCTTGCTTGAGAGAAAGGTTCTCCTCTGCAGTGCTTCTATGAGGTGATGCCCTGTTTTCTTTTTCTTTCTGCAATTATGGAAGGATGTGATGTAAATGCTTATGATGCTTTTTTGTCCTCAGAAATCTGTCCCAGTGCATCGAAGGCCTCGTGTCTCTCCTGTATCCATTTTCTTGGGAGCACGTACTGATACCGATTCTACCGTGGGCATTGTCAGACATACTGGAAGCCCCTTCCCCGTATCTCATCGGACTCCTGTGTCAGGGCAATAGACTGCCTCCCCATCTTGATGTTGATGAGGTGGGTTCCTATATAGTATATAGTTTTTATAGTTATCAAGGAACAAAATGAAAAGATTTGGATTTGCATTTTCTGTCCTCCCTTTTGCAGGTGCTTGTGGTGGATGTGGACCACAGCAAGATCCTCCAGTCCTGTGGAGATGAAGCCTCAATCCTCCCAAGAAAGCTGCAGAAGTCATTGCAGTCAGCCATGATGCTCATCTTGGAACTCACAGACAAGAGTGATGGTGCACAGAACGTACTGATCAGCGAATTCTTCATCCGCATGTTTGTGGAACTCTGTGGCCATTACTCACATCACGTATACATGGGACCCGATGGAAAGAATCATTTTCGGGTGTGTACTTTTGGACTTGCTTCTTTTTATATTTTAGGTGGCTTGCATGAAATTGATTGATCTTCATTAAATGCAATTTCATTTTGAGATTCTGCCAAAGAATACAAGTCTGTTACAGGAAAACCTTGTTAATTTGATATTGGATAGTTTGAAGTATCAGATACTTCGAAGTCATCTATGTTCCCCGTCTGAGAGGATAGTGATTTTTACACTTTAAAGTATGGATAATTCGAAATATGGATACTATGAAATTTGAAGGCATTTTCTGGTCCCGTGAGATATAAACTCAGAAACGTGTTCGTTTACTTCAAAGGACACTTTTACCTACAGATGACCTGTCTCAAACTTCGCTCTGTAAATGGCAGCAAAGCCAGCTAATTGCCTTGGAAACTTCATTTTTCTATTCAGAAGATTCTAAATATAGACTTTCACTAAATCTCCCTCTCTATCCTTACCTATCTCATGCACACCTTGTACTACCTTCATTCAAAAAACTTTGCTTTGTGGCAGCACAGTCTCTCTCTCTCTCTTTCTCTCTGTGTTGTGAGTGAAACAGGTGAATGTGCCATGGCGAACAAGAGGAAGTACAATGAGTTAAGTATTTCAAAAAAGTTGGAAGTTAATTTGTTGTTAATTTAATAAGTTGTGAAATGGACAAGAAAGAAAAATCGAAGACCAATATCGCAAAAGAATTCAGCATACTGCTTTCAACTCTATCCACATTCCTTAAAAATTGTGGCACCCTTGAAAAGCAAAAAAGGAAGAAGGTGGTCATGAAACCAACAAAAGGAAGAGAATACGAGGCACAAAGCACGTGAATTTAGTACAGTATTACTGTAATAAATCCGGCTGAATAGTATAGTATTACAAAATAACAATGGCCAAACCAGATAATTCGAACATGTTTATTTCCAAATCTGTATTTTTTGGTCCCCTGGATTTCGAATTAACGAGGTTTCCCTGTAAATACAGTCCCCTGGGAATCTAATATGAAACTACAAACTGAGAAAAATGAATGCTATCCTCCTCGTTTTTGCTACTTTATTTCCATTGAAAATTTGCATGTTTTTCTTCTCATGAAAGGTGGACACTTTCCTGAGAGCAGTGAAGGACTCTCACATGCGGGTATTTTTGTCATGGTTTGTCGAGACAGCTATGTTCAACGTCTTCATTGACAACCGCCTTGTCATGAGCAACAAAGAAAAGGGTGAGTGTTGCATTCTCTTTCCCAGTAGTTAGATTTGTTGGCTGAGTGTGTGTGCTGCCTAAGTTCTATTCAGTTCTCAGAACTGTAATGAATGCCTAGGCTTTGGCTATAATGGCACACACATACTACTCACTGCATTCACACCATTGTGTATACTGTGTGTAGGACATAGGTGTCAAAAATATGTCCTGTGACATATTCAATCTGAGTCTGGCTTAATTAGACACATGGGGAAAAGTGAAACAATTGGACCCCATGAGGAAAAAAAAAGTTTTTTTAGATACAAAAAAACTGGAAAACTTAGCCCAATGACAAACCTTCTTTGGATGCACCATACAGTATTGATTGGGAATATGAGACATGAGAACATTGGAGGAAGAGGAAATAGAAGAGACGGGCTGAAAAGACCAGGCGGAGGAGATGATCAGATGTGAACCTTGTAACATGTTTTGAATTGAGGTTGAACATGGCTGTGTTACTGGAGTATAAAATATTTAAAACAACACCATGGAAATTTAGCTCTTACTCCACAATGTTGATTTTTCTTACCAGTTTCATCACAAATGAACAAAGCCTTCCACTATCACAAACATCTGTTTCTCCTCATGCCTTAGTAACAACATTACATTCTGATCTAATTACTCCCTGTATGTCTCTAAGAGCCACATTTGACTGTTAATATACATTGGGTTGGACACCTGGTGTGGGCAAGACAACTGATAACTAGCTTTACACTCTGCATCATTGGATGCAACAGTGAACCAGCTTATCCCTTGAGCTGCCTCTTTGCATTACTCCTGTACAGTGATACATACAGTGATGCTACTTGCAATATGGGGTTTATCTTCTATATTGTAGTTGGGATGGTAAATATAATGCTGATCACATGCATTGTACACTGCAGTATTCTGGATTTGGGAAACATTTAATATAAAGAAAGTATAAGGTCTGTGTAGAAACATTGATTCATAGTGACCTATGGCACCAATTTAGTCAGCATGCAAAAGTGAAACTTTCATAAATGCACTGCTGTTAAGAAAAATACCATTGTAATAAGAACTGATAATGATGAAACAAAATTGCTTCCTTCTTGAGAAGCCTCGTTCAAAGTAGCATAGGCATAGAATATTCAAAGTAGATTGAACGCGGGACTAGTGGCAGGCAGGACCACCCCTAGGCTTTAATCACAGCCTTGAGCTCTTTGAGGCATGTTCAGGTTTCTGATTTAGGACTGATGTAGGTTTTGGAGTATTACAGGCATCCTTGACCCCCTTGAACCCCCTTCATCAAATGAGGACGGTTTCTCCCTTGCCACTTCCTGTCAATAACATCCCAAATGTGTTTTATTGGATTCCTTTCAAAAGAGTTTCCTATCCAATTAAGGACACTGACATCATCATGGAACCATCCTGCCCCTGTACTTGCTGCATAGCATGGTGCACAACCACATTAGGAACTTGAAATCACATTTGAAGATCATCTTAGTACTCTTGAAGAGAAGTCAAGCATGCATGTCAGCTCTCATTTGTGGCCTCCATAAGACATGCAAGCATGAAAAGGATAGATGATAGACAACCTTTGTGATTTCTAACAGTTTCTCATTGTTAAATTCATTTAAAGAGCAGGATTTGGCTTGAAAGTTGTATCTATAGAATACTCAATTTCAGGTTGTGCTTAAACTGCACATTGGTGAGCACAAATCACAGCATGCTATGCTGTGAGAGCATGTGAGAGGTTCAGACTCTTTTGAAGACCTTCTCCCTTATCATTTTCCAAGTGATCTCTAATAAAGCTTTGAGAGAAGAGTGAGAATCTCATTGTAATTTCAATCAACATCTAGGTATGGTCTGAAAACAATATATCTTGTACATCTTCAACTGCATTAAATCACTGAAATTACCCACCATTACAAGAGATAATCATTCCTTATCTTATGTTGGGACTCTTGCCATGCTTCATGATTTTTATGGTGTTACTTTTGAATGGCTTTAGATGGAAGATTATCTCCATTTTAATAATTGAGCAAGGACTTTTTTGGAGTGACTTGAACTCCTATGGCACTTCAAGTATTATTTTTGATTTTTTTATAAATAACTTCTCATCCATATCATATCCATGTCTATCTTTCAATAGGTTTGTTTGAACATCGAATCCTAGAGCAGCAAGGAGACACAGGGAATTCCCAAAGTAGCATTTTACGAAATGCAAGGCATCTTGGCAAGATGGTGAGACATCTTGGTAAGTCAAATTCTCTTCTGTGAGCCTATGCTTTTTTGTTAAATTGCTGATCTGTGGAGTTTTTTATTATTGATTTGCCCTTTCCTTCCAAAGGTTCTTTCACAGATCTCAAGGCAAAAGGTTGAAATGCTGGGTTGTCAGGACAAAAAAAAATACTCAGAAGGGTCTAAAGGGAGAGGTAGAATTAATAAATTTTACCAAATATTAATGATTTAAACACTAGATGATAGGCTCCTATCTTACAGTCTCTTCCATTCGTCCTTCCCTCTCCATGTGGAACCTTAGCAACCATGATCATGGGCTGGGTTGAGAATCCTATTACATCCTCGAAGGCTTGCATAGAATGCCAAGATGCAGGGAATGCCTCAGGCTCAGTTCTATTTGAGGCTTATGAAGGGAACTGCTCAATCTACTTGGCAGACAAAATGGCACTCTTTGAAGCTTTCTTCTTTTTGGCACTCCATTTCACTTTAAACCTTCCAACTGAGCATTTCAACCTTTCTGTAGGTTATCTCTGCAATAAAGCAAGCATTCTGATAATATCAGATAATGGATTAAAAAAGCCAGAGATTTCACAGGTTTCTGACATTGAGCACCAGCCTGTAAACTGCTCAGCAGGGCATAACTTCAGCACGAAAAATCTGCAGTCATGGTTTTTGCATTTGACGAAGAACCCTGTCAGTAGATGAAAAAATGAGAGAACAGATGAGATCCTGCAATGTCAAGAAGAAAGTCAACACCATCCTCAGATGACAATGTGCAACTACCTATGTAATATGAAGGATGGTGTTGGCAGTTTGCATACCAGAGCAGAGGATGCTGAGTAAAACATTAGTTCATAACGAAACAGAAA